ACAAAATCTTTGCAGACATTTTGGCAAAAAGATTTAAAAGAGTGTTGATGGAGAAGATTCATAGGGACCAAGCAGGCTTTCTCCCTAAAAGACACCTGGCAGACAATGTAAGGAATGTAATAGACATTCTGGAAAAGTTAGAGGTGAATATAAACACAAAAGCAGTACTGATTTTTGTGGATGCGGAGAAAGCCTTTGACAATATTTCTTGGAGCTTTATGAGGAAGAATCTTCATGGGATGGGGGTAGGCCAGGGTTTTGAGAATGGTATGGCTGCAATATATTCAGAACAAAAAGCTAAACTGATTGTAAATAATGTTGTGACTGAGGAACTTAAGATAGAAAAAGGAACACGACAGGGGTGCCCGATTTCCCCATTACTTTTTATATCAGTTCTGGAGGTGTTGCTGAATATGATAAGAAATGACCAGCAGATCAAAGGGGTGCAGGTCGGAGCTAAACATTATAAGTTGAGAGCGTTTGCAGATGACTTAGTATTGACCTTGCAAGAGCCAAACACTAGCACGAAAAAGGCCTTAGAAATAATACAACAGTTTGGCCAGGTAGCTGGATTTAAGTTGAATAAGCAAAAAACAAAAGTTTTAGGGAAAAATTTAACAGATATGGAAAAGGAGAAATTTCAAGAGGAGACAGGTTTGACAGTGGTTAAGAAGGTGAAATACCTAGGGGTATATTTAACATCTAAAAATTTGAACTTGTACAAGGACAACTATGAAAAATGCTGGTCAGAAATCAAAAGAGATCTAGAAATATGGTCAAATTTGAAATTGTCAATGTTAGGCCGAATTGCAGTGATTAAAATGAATGTATTGCCTAGAATGCTATTTTTGTTTCAGACCTTGCAGATTCTCGACAAGATGGAATGTTTTAAGAGGTGGCAGAAAGATATTTCGAGATTTGTCTGGCAGGGCAAAAAGCCCAGAATTAAATTTAAAATATTGACAGACGCTAAAGAAAGAGGGGGGTTTGCCCTGCCGGACTTAAAATTGTATTATGAGGCAGCAGCTTTTTGCTGGCTGAAGGAATGGATGCTCCTCGAGAACACAGACATCTTGGATCTGGAAGGTTTTAATAATGTTTTTGGTTGGCATGCATATTTATGGTATGACAAAATTAAGCAGCATAGTGCCTTTAAAAATCACATTGTTAGAAAAGCACTGTTTAATGTATGGATGAGATATAAAGATCTGTTGGAAAACAAAACCCCTAGATGGGTGTCACCAGTCGAGGCTAAAGCAGTAAAGAAACTCAATATGGAGGTCGGATGGCCGAAGTATTGGGAAATTTTGGAACAGGATGGAGACAAGTGGAAATTACAAAGCTATGACAAATTGAAGGATAAAGTACAAAACTGGCTTCAATACTACCAAGTAATGGAGCTTTTTAAACAGGACAGGAAAATTGGCTTTCAAGTGGATAAATCAAAACTAGAAATTGAACTGTTAGAACCCAACACTAAGAATTTGTCAAGAATGTATAATTTGTTGCTGAAATGGAATACACAGGATGAAACGGTGAAATCAGCCATGATTAAATGGGCACAAGACATTGGTCATGACATTATGTTTGCCGACTGGGAACAGTTATGGACCACCGGTGTTAAGTTTACGGCATGTAATGCCTTAAGAGAAAACATAATGAAAATGATATACAGGTGGTACATGACCCCAGTCAAGCTGGCAAAAATCTATCATCTGCCCGATAACAAATGTTGGAAGTGTAAAGAGACTGAAGGTACCTTCTACCACCTTTGGTGGACATGCCCGAAGATTAAGGCCTTCTGGGAAATGATCTATAATGAAATCAAAAAGGTACTCAAATGTACCTTCTCGAAAAAACCAGAGGCCTTTCTCTTGGGCATTGTCGGCCAATTGGTGACAAAGAGGGATAGAACTTTCTTTATGTATGCTACAACAGCAGCAAGAATACTCATCGCAAAGTATTGGAAGACCCAAGATCTACCCACTTTGGAAGAATGGCAGATGAAAGTGACGGACTATATGACATTGGCCGAGATGACAGGCAGAATCCGAGACCAACGAAAAGAGACGGTGGAAGAAGAATGGAGAAAATTTAAAAGTTATCTTAAGGACTACTATAAACTTAATGAATGCTAAAATGTTGCGGTTTCCAGAAATAAAGGGATACAGGGATATAAGGTTAGAAATTTAAAAAAGAACTAAGAAGATAGAGATTGGAAAATAATAATTGGGAGTTGCTAGTGGAACTTTGGACACTGGGATGCAGAGAGGGGGGGTATGGGGAAGTCAAAGGAAAGAAGTTTATGAAAATATGTTTGAAACTATACGTGTATGTGTGTCATTTTTGGTGTTTGTTTGTTTTTTGTTTAAAAAGTTTCTAAAACCAATAAAAATTTTATAAAAAAAAAAAAAAAAAGAACAGTTTCGGGTTAAGTACGGACCTCCGGAATGAATTAAGTACTTAACCTTAGGTACCACTGTAGTGTATTTAGCGTTAACTCTGCAAATGTATACTCAATTCTGACCAAACTAAGCCTTCTAGAGCAAAATATACATCAGGATTCCACCACAGGGGTGCATGCATGTGCAGCAATTATTATTATTTTTAAAGCAGTGGAATATGTGAGATTTATATGTTGGCAGGCCTGGATATTCTGCTAGTCTCGCAGGCTTTGACTCACGCTTTACAAACAGGTCTTTTGGCCTGATGCCCTGCAGCTTGACATAGTTTTCGCCTGTTTCATTTCCTTCCTGTAGCGTAAAAACAGAAAGTTCACCCAGTTGTTTGGTCTTTGCTATCTTCAGGTTACAGATCAGAATAATGGAGTTCCCTCATTACCTTGATGCCACGACATCATATAAGGAGGTGGCTATATCCCGAGTTCATGATACAATGGCAAGGTCACAAGACTCACCGAGCATCAGACCTGGTTGTTTTTTCAGTGAAAAGGGCCTGAGGCAACAAGCGTTCATCTCTCTGTGTCATTAGTTTTAGCTAGGCACATGTGACTACTTCTGATCTGCAGGGTTTTACACAACAGACACACAACAGTCGCCTCTCTCTAATCCTGGTATTTCTCCTCTTTATTGGGGTGTGTGGGATAACTGAGATTGTGCAGTGAGTCTTTGTTAACATCAGTGCTGGAATAAGCAGTAAAAACACCTGCATTAGGGTCAGCCAAGATAAGTTGTGAGCTAGAACTCCTCATCAGGCTCAACGCTGAACAAAAAATGCGGGCAGACAGCAGTGTCTCCAGCAATGTGAACCTGCAAATGGAACTGGATCTAGAGTTGGGACACACCTTAATGATGTGCAATGGTATCACAGAGCATCCTAGTACTATTGTCATGATGAAGACAGAAGGAGCAAAGGCTAGGCCTACAATGAAGGCTTTTCTGAACAGAGAGCTGTATCCAGAAAGGCAAGGAGTTGCATGCGAAGAACAGCCATGAACCTGCTCTCCTCAACATCTGTTCCATTCAACCTTTTTTTTTTAAAAAAAGCTATATTTATTAATGTACACAAAACAGGAAAAAGGACAAACAAGAAGGAAAGGCATATGGAAAGGGGAGAGTTGCTGCTGTTGGTTTTTTGTCTCTTTTATTTTGTTGGCAATTTATGTGGAAATTGTTCTGTTTGGTTTTGTATTTTTTAATGGTTAATTTACTGTTTCGGTCTTCTTTTGTTGTGTTGCAGTTATGTGTTTTTGCATGTTGTAAGCCGCTCTACAAATTGTAGCTCGGTGGGGGGAACTTTCCAGCTTAAAGTCTCAATGACAGTGAAGAAATATGGGAACAGAGAATTGTTGAGTAAATGAAAGCAAAGTACACTCTGGTTTTCTCGTCTCTGCTCCACCCCTTAACGCACCAAATGTTTTCGCGTCAAGCGAGTGACCTCTAGTGGACAAGCTGGCAAAAAATAAAATTTGCAAAACTGGTAGCAGAAGTACTGTATCAGGGTCACGAAGGAATATAAGAACCGTAAACAGACTCAACATTGGTGGGAAGAGCCCCATTTGTCCTAATAAACTAGCTCAGGAAACCAGGAAGTTTATTAATATCATCATCATCATCATCATCATTATTATTGTATGACGTCCATCGGACTCGTCAAGAGTAATAGCTAGAGAGCTAAAATGGCATATTGAGACTCCTGCATTGCAGGGGGTTGGACTAGATGACCCTTGGAGTCCCTTCCAACTCTACAATTCTTTGTTGTTAGAGGAATCAAGAGTTATAGAATGCAGTATCTAATTTTATTGGGAGAAGTTGTTTGTTGTTTTAACAGTTGTTTACCCTAAATGTATCCTCTGTACCATGGAAAACAAAACATAAATTTTAGAAAGGAGTTATAGGAATACTGCATTTAATGCCTTCCTGTTCGGACTGTTTTGTCCATCAATTAAACAAACATTTAAATTCGACATCTGGTTTCGGTTTATTCCAATGTTTTTTGTTTGTTTTTTTTTAAAAAAATCTCATCCTATATCTTCATCATTTACGTACACACAAAAAATACCGAGAAGTTAAGCAAAAATCATTAAGGATTACATAATAAAAACAGCCCCACTAAAGTCAGCGTTGATTTTTTAAAACCGGCAGTATATACCGGTAAACCCAGCTACCTTCTTCCAATCCACCCTGTCCTCTTCACCGCGCCTGCGCAGTAGTGCTTCCCTTCGCTCGCTGGTCGGCTTTCCCACTCAGTTTTCTCCTCAACCCCTGCCGCACATTGCCGCGCCGCGCCTGCGCCCTACCCCCTTCGGCTTTCCCGCGCCCCTCCCCGCCTCCCGCGCGCATGCGCCCTTATCCCCACCCGCGGCGCCTGCGCCGCGCTGCCTCGGCTTTCTCCCACCCTCTCCCCATGCGTGCGCCGCTGCCCTTTGGCTTCCGAGCTCTTTTCCCCCCCTCAACCCACCCACCGCATGCGCGCATGCGTCGCGGCCCGAGCTCCCTCCGCCCGTCGCGCATGCGCCTTGCCTTGGTTCCCTCCTCTCTCGCTCGCTCTCCCCCCCCCACCCCACTTGTCGCTCCCCCCGCTTCCCTCTCTCTCTCCCGGCGTCCGGGGCTGGCGTTGGGGGCGGACTCTGGTCCCCGCTTCCGGTGTGGTGTCATGGTGGCTCGTAGGCTGTGATGGCTGAGGAGGAGGAGGGGAGCTGAGAGCGCGGCGGCGGCGGCGGCCGGATCGAGCCGAGGGGGAAGAAGGGGCGGGGGCGTCGAGACCCTCCTCCTCCTCCTCCCCCGCCTGGCTGGGCGGCGGGACATGGCGGCCCACAAGCCGGTGGAGTGGGTGCAGGCCGTGGTCAGCCGCTTCGACGAGCAGGTAACGGCCCTGTGGGCTGCAGGATATGTGGGGGGGGGGAAGGCGGCATAGGGTGGGGGGCCCTTTGGGGGAAGGGCTGGGAGGCCCTTTGGGGGAGGGTTTCCAAGCAGGGACGAATGCATATATATTTATATGTGTGTGTGTGTGTGTCTTTTCTGAGGGGGCCCGTTTCCCCCTCAGAAAGTGTCGTCGTCGGATCCTAGAATTGTACAGTTGGAAGGGCCCCCCCAGGGTCCTCTAGTCCAACCCCCTGCTATGCAGGAATCTCGACTAAAGCATCCCTTGACAGATGTTTAGAAATCTCTAAGGAAGGAGAGCCCACAACCTCTTAGGGAGGATGCTTTTGCGAGGTAACTCCCTCTGCTCCTTTCAAAGGATGCCGTGATTATTATTTTTTTGGGGGGTGGCTGGGTGGGAAGGCAAAGCTTCCTGGGGAAAAGATTGAGGAATTGGGGTGCCATGCAAGGGAAAAGCGTGCGTACGTTTTCCTCACTCTCTCTGGTCTTCTTCAGGGAGAGGAGATGGGGACCCTTTAGGGATGTGCTAGTGCCTTTTAGTCAGTGTGTGTGTGTTTATGCATGCAAAGCATCCTTGCAGATCTCCCAGGCAATACACACCCAAACTGATTAAAGGGTGGGGGGAAGAGTCCCATCTCTTGCTATACATGAACATGTGGAACATGCACATTTGTGGTGGGCATGAATCCCATCTTTCCCCTCCCCCCCCATCAAGTTTGCTCTGGAATTGTGTATATGGTTGTTGCTTACTGTGATCTTGGGGTCTTTGAGGGATGAGAGTTGGTGTTGGCCATTTAGGAACCCTACCCACACCCTGCTTTGAGTTGTGCGGATGATGTGCTAAAGCTCATTTCTAGTGGGGTGAGCCCATTTTTCCCTCTGCCCCGCCAAAGATGCACTGGAGTTGTGTGTTGTTGTTCTTTTGAGTAACAGCTGTAGTAGGGCATCCTGGAGGTGAGTTGAAGAGCAGTAGCTGATCTAGTTCGGTGTCACTTTATCAGTGGTACCAATGGGCTGTGTGACTTTTGAGGGGAGATGAGAAACAGCTGTTGTTATGCCTTTGCATTTTATCTCTAGGTTTGCAATAAAATAAACTTATGACACCTCAAATTTCGTGGTCTAGAGGTGGCTGTGCATATGACAAAAGTGGGCTGTGGTCCTTGAAAGCTTCTGTCACAATAAACCTGCCAGTTTGCAAGGTACCAGAGTACTTTTCGTCAGTCTTGTGGGATGGAGTTTACTGGCCCTTTCTAAGGATGTGCTGGATTCATTTTCTTTGGAAATGGCACGGGAGTTGGAAGGGACGCTGAGGATCATCTAGTCCTTTCCCCTGTCATGCAGGAACATGCAGCTGTCCCTTAAGGACATCGAATCTGCAACATTATAGCACCACGCTCTAACCAACTGAGCTGGATGCTGGCAACTGTACCAATTGAGTTCTACTCTGTGAGGGCTGGATGTGTATGTTTAAGTCAAGAGAGAACTGGAAAATGGGTCTTCCTTGAATGGAATAAAGAAGTAGCTGGGTGGTCCAGCATTTTCCTCTTAAATGAAGAAAGATGTGGCTTATCCGGATATTTTTCCCAAAAAATGGTGATTTGCCTCGGATAATTTGCAGTAGGAAACGTTCAGTGTCAAAGGGTTAGCCAGTTTAACATTTTTATTTTACCTGTATTTAGTAAAGAAAGCTAAATGCATTGATAATGCTAAGTTTACCTAATATTGCATTTGCAGTTGGCATCAATTTGTTGCTCCTAATGAACTTACAAAATGGAACATTTTCCACTGAAAAAATATAGCGCTGGAAAACTGTGCACCCCACATTGCTGAGGAGCTGTCCCTTCTAGGGTTCTTTCAAGAGAAAAAATGTAGAAGAAATTGGGCTCAATCTTTGGGTTTTGGGAAGGTGTCATTCTGGGATTTGTAAAAGTTGGGGTCTTTGAGGGAAAAAGGAGGGGAAGCAGCTTGGCTCATTGGAACTCTTCACTTGCTGGATGTGGGAACTGAGAGCCCTGTGGAATGAAAGATGCAGTAATAGATGTAGTCAGACTTCATCCTTGTTCCATGTGAAACATGTATGGCTTATGTATGGAAAACGGGGCACAGATGGTTTGCAGTAGGATTGAAAGAACAGGTGGACATACTGTTGATCATTGAAGGGGTCTTCTGGGCCCAGTGAAGGCCCAGTTATGCAGCATGGGAATAGGGGGTACTACTGTGAGTGGGTGTACCACTCACATCAGTTGAAGTTTTTGAACAAATTGGGACTTGCTGCTTGTGAGTTGAACTTGGGAGGAGGGAAATAAGGGGATATACTGACTTGAGATAATTATGGAACTGCCCTTCTGAGTGGCCTACTGGATCCATTTTAAAGCAAGCCATTGAAAAACAGCTTTGTTTTGTGACAATCTGGCCCAACAGGTGCCCCTTGGAAGTCCCTAAGCAATCATGGTCACAGTAGGTCTCCCCCTACTCAAAATTCTCAGCAACTGGTATTCAGAGGCATACTGCTTCTAATCCTAGGCAGCACATTGTGACTAATAGCCATTGATAGTCTTATCTTCCATGAATCTGTCAAATCCGCTTTTGAAGCAGTTCTAGTTGGAGGCCATCACTTCATCTTGCGGCATTGAATTCCATAGGTTAACTGTCCACTGCATGAAGAAGTCTTTCCCTTGGTCTCTCCTGAATTTTCCAATATTCAGCATCTAGCGTTCTGAGTGAGAAAGAAAGCCTTTATGTCCACTTTCTCCACACAGTACATAATTTTACACACCTCTATCACGTTGTTGTTACTTATTCCCTTTTTTACTAAGCCAAAGGCCCAAATGCTGTTATCTTTCCTCATAGGAGAGCTGTTTTGTCTCTCTGATAATTTAGTGAACCTTCTCCAGCTCTGCTGTGTTCTTTTTGAGCAGCGGAAAACAACCAGAGCTATACACACCACACCATAGATTTGTATTGTGGCATTACAATATTGGCAGTTTTATTCTAACTTCCTTTCCTAATGAATCTCTAACACAAAGTTCCCATTTTTCACAGTTTCTGCACACAATATCAGCATTTTCCTAGAGCTGCCCCATACAACTCTAAGGATACAACAATCAGTCAGTGCCAGTTCTGGCCCCATAATTTTGCCCCATCATGCATCACTTTTCACTTGCTTCCATTCAGCTAGATGGGTATTAATATGGCAGACTTCATCCTTGTTCCATGTGAAAGGGGGCAGTAATGTATGGAAAATGGGGCATACTGCTTGTGTGAAACACCATAAGACTTGTCATTTTCCTTGTAGAATTGAGCTGGCTAACACAATAGGAGTTATGGACTTAAAATGTTCAAACACTTTTCTGTAGTTGCTATGCTATCTTTAAAGAAAGAGATATTGAGGGAGTTATTTCCTACTTTGGAAGAATGACACTTTCTAATGATGAGCTAATTTCTCATGCTAGTAAATTCCCTCAAAGTATTTTATTTATTTAAGGCATTAACTAGCTACTCTTTAGCCAAAGCTCTCAAAGTGATCTACAAAAGATGTGATTTCCCTTGCAAGGAGAAGTTGCTGGAAATTACTGTCCTAGTAGGATCTTGCACTTTATCCTACATTGCTTTCTTGGAAGTAAATTCAGTTGCTTTTTAAATGGGACTTTCTGGGCTATTGCTGTGGACAGAAGGAGATGATCTCTTTTGATCAAACTTATAAAATTAGGCTTTCCCCCCTTTTCATTGGCATATGTCATGTTTTTAGCTAGACTGCGCCACCAGATTATTGTGAGATGCATTGTTTTTGTTTGGTGTGTATTTCTATTATAAGGTGCCCTGTGATCCTCGGATGAAGGACAATATAGAAATTATATTTAAAAATATAAAAGCAAGTTTTAAATTGCACTGGAACCCTAACCAAAGGTGGGCTAAAAAAGAAATTTTCAGAGGAGGGAGCCCCTCACAAACATATCTCCAGGGAGAGGGAGTTGAAAAGGTGAGGGGTCACTGCTGTAAAGGCCCTGTTGTGTTCCTGACAAACGTGATCATATAGGAGAGAGAGGTACAGTACTGATAAACAGGCAGAAATTGGCAACAGTCCTTGATTGTGCCTTCATAGCTGCTTAGTAGGTTGATCATCTGGGAAGTAGTCTTGAGTTGTAGCTTTCTAAAAACACATAAACAAACCATTGTCATATATAATCTGAAATGAAGTGTGGATTATGCAAGTTTAGGTTATGGTTCCTGGGAGCCACCTCTCTGCTTTCCAAAATAAAAATCTGGTGAAGAGGTAATGGAATTTTCAGATCCTGGCATTCCATCTCATATGTGCCTTACACACTGGCTCTTCTTGCGAGGTAAACTTTAGTTTATGCCCTCGTGTTTTCCCAGTTATATCCAACATTCAGAATTGTCTAATCAGTGTAACTGGGAATAAGTGCTCACCAAATTTTAGCTTTAAGCTGGCCCGTGGCTTGAATATTGGGGGGTGGGTTAGGCTTCTTTGCTCCCTTCCATTTTAAAGAGATATATAAAAGCATCCTTTGGGACTATTTTAGTAACCATTGTGTTGTGGGGCTAGATAAATTTCAGGTTCTTTGGAAGTTCTTTAACATTTTGGGTGTACACTCCCCTCTTTCTAGGAAGAGTTGTAGAAATGTCCCCCTTCATTTAAAAAAGTAAGTAGATAAGCATTTCTTGGTGACAAGTTTCCTCAAGAAAAGTCAGAATAAGCATGGCATAAAGTTACGTAATATATACTAATTTTCATGGGTCTCGAACCTTGGGAACTACTCTGACCGAGACTTAGCAATCTGATGAGAAGCATTTTTATTCTGATCCGTCTATCTGGCTTCATGGAGAAAGTGGACTAGTAGACGGAAATTAGGCTGCAACTCCATATATTTCAGCCCCACATGTATGCTCATGTGTCAGGGAATAGCAGCTGTGGGAATTAAATCCTAGCAGAGGAGTACATTAAGAGTGGCTGAAGCTTATCCAGTGCACTACTAAGTTTGCAGCTGGTGATAATAGTAGATGCTGATAAAGGAAGTGGTTCCTCACAGCCATTCAGCTGGACGTCTCCAGTGTTCAGAGGTTTTAATAGAAAGCAAACGAAAACAATTTCAGTACATTTTTGCTGATTAACCATCCCCACTTTGTGTGAAATACTTTTCCCCCCCTAAGTGCACTTTGTGTCTGTTGTGTGCTGCTTCCATCAAAAAGCTGTTGGCTTTGATCAAAAGTAAAACTTCCTCAAAGTGGGGTTTTCTGCAAGGTTTTGTTCAACAATTGAGACCAACTGACTGGTAAATGACGCATGAGGGAAATGATTGGTCTGTGACCTTTTGAAGAATTTATGGATGCAGCTTAAAACAAAGTGTCTAGTGTTCACGGAGCAGGATTAATATCTTGGGTTTGTGGAGTCATTTCAAGTCTTATCTGCGCTGCTGCTGGGACTTCCGAACTTTTGAGTTTTAACTGATACAGTTCAGAGAGAAGCTAAACATTGGTTGAAACACATTTTGCCCAATACCTCTGCAGTGGGTTACAAAAGACAGGTAGTGATATGCAACTCAAAGTTACTCTTTGATTCTGATTTCAATGATGAAGTGCATCTGACAATAGTTCCTGTATGTGATATCTCAGGCCATAGCAGCTGCATTTGGACCATGGTATAGCATGACGGAAGTGATCCACAGCAAGCCTTGGGCTCATGCGCTCCTCCACCCCCGCATCTCCTCTGGCGCAACCATGAGGAGGCACTTGGAGACTTTCGCTTCCATTTTTGTTTATAATGTCATCTGATCCAACAAACTCTGGTTAACACGAACTATGCTTGCTGGTTGGAAACAAGCCAGTTCCAAACTGGTGGCGAAGGCAAGCCCCATTTGCTAAGGAATAGCGGGGAGCGCATTTTAAGGTTCCCAGCTGTTCCTTTCCAGCTCCATCTTGGACTCAGCCCTGTTTGTATTGGCTGTGGTCTTGGAACCTAGCAAGGTGGGTTGCATCAGCACTGCCACCATTTTCGTTTTCTTTGGTCTCCCCCCCCCCCCCCCCAGTCATAAGTAGGCAGGAAGCGGGGAGAAAATGAATTGCTTTATTCAACGAGTTTATAGCATAAATTACTAAAACGAGTTCCTGTGGTGAACTCAGAGCAGCTTAGCTATGGTTCCCAGGTGGTCTCCCATCCAGGCAACTGTCAGGATCAAATCTGATTAGCTTCCCCAGAAGAACTGTTTCATGTTCTTTCAAATTGTTCTCAGGGTGGAGGGGAGGAGAAAGATAGGCATGGATGGTGAAAGGAAGGAAGGAAGAGCACAGTTCGTTTTTTTCAGGGTGGGTGGGGTTCAGAGTGCACCTAGGGTCTGAGAAAGTTGAACACATGTGTTGTGGACAATCTCACATGGCTGGGGCTTCTCCCATTCACAGAAGCTCATGGTGCTTTTGCTATGGCAGGTTAAAATTAAGGTGCCTGGTGGTAAACACAACTTATTTTAGAAGGCCATGTTTTAATTGTACGTGCTGTATAAATATGTCAGAAGTTCTTTCCAATAACTAGAAGTAATTGAACAGTAAAGCACACTTAGGCTGCATGCATACACACTATACTTTTAAAGCAACGTTCCCCCCCCCCCAAAGAGTTCTGGGCATTGTAGTTTGCCCTCACACAATTACGATTCCCAGCAACTCTTAACAAACTACAGTGCCCATAATTCTTTGAGGGGGAAACTGCTTCAAATGTGCTTTGAAGGTATAGAGAGTACACAGCCTTAGACTGCAATCTTATACTGTCAGTGTGGGGAACCTTTGGCCATCCAGATGTTGCTGAACTACAACTCTCATCATGCCTGGGCATGGACCATGCTTGCTGAGCCTGATAGGAGATGGAGCTCAGCAACATCTGGAGGGCCAAAACTCCTCCATACCTGTTATACACACTTAATTGGGCGTACGTCCCATTGAACTCAGGGTGGCTTAGTTCTGAGTAGAAATGCATAGGATTGCACGGTCCATGTGCTTTATATGCTACAGTCAAATTTTTTTTACTGGAGAACTGTTTCATTGAATACTTGTAAATATTTTAAGATGGGAAAATTCAGTGGCTTTGTTCAGATGCAACATTAAATTGTGATTTAGCACTATGTGAATGAGCCTGACCTCCCCTCTGATTTGTTCCCTCTCATCCTCTCAAGAGGGCAAATTTGGATCTTTTAGTTAAAGCAAAAGTAAAAGCTTCTAAGCATCTCCTCCTGTTACTGCAGTAGGAGGAGAGGAAAGTGAGAGATCATGCAAGCCAAGTAGAAATTTAGGCTCGTTCATGGTTTAGTGTTGTATCTGAACATGAACATTTGCACACACTTCCCATGCTTGTTTAAATGGGGGTGGTGGGGAAGAGCTGGAAACTGCCACCATGTTGGTTTTTGGCATACCCAAAGAGCTCTTGCATGAAAAGTTAAAGGAAAAAGCCTTCAGTGTAACACACTGGAGCTCTGGAAGTTTTCTTCTAAGTGAATGCTTACTGTTTTTCTTTCTCCTCCTCACCTGCAGCTACCAATCAAAGCTAGTCAACAGAATACCCACACCAAAGTCAGCACGGAACATAACAAGGAATGTCTCATCAATATTTCAAAGTACAAGTTTTCCTTGGTCATCAGTGGCCTCACCAATATATTAAAAAATGTTAACAATATGGTAAGTGCTATCCTCTTGCCCTTAATAGGCTTATTGTAGGTGGGGAAAGCATGAGATGAAGGAACCTTAGGTTGGGAAAGGAATATGTGTGTTTTCTTGCCCAGTTACCAGTGGATATTGGATGCCAGTGGTTCCGTTGGTACTTGGTAAACACACTGATATATTGATTTCCTATATCCAGTGCTTTTGATTAAAAATGCTCCTCTCCCTTGTTCGAAATAACAAGCTTCTTTAAAACAAGATCAAACTAGATAAGTCCTATCTTATGTGTAACCAGGACAAATGATATTGGCCCAGTTTGGACAATTGCAGCTTATGAAGCCAAGATCTGCACAGACATGGGAACCCTTTGCATGAGCTGTGGTTAAAACAGGAAGCCTCTAAATAGCCATGCATTCCCATTACATTTGGAACAAACCAGGTTTTTAGACCATGGTCTGAAATTGATTATTTTAGGTAATTCTGAAACTGGTGACCATAGTTTCCAGTATGGACAAAACAGGAAATTGTGGTTAATTAGAGACATCCAGCTACCGCACAATTGCACTCATTTCACATGCTAGCAAGGTTATGCTTAAAATTCTACAAGGAAGGCTCAAGCAGTATGTGGACCGAGAACTCCCAGAAGTGCAAGCTGGATTTAGAAGAGGCAGAGGAACCAGAGACCAAATTGCAAACATGCGCTGGATTATGGAGAAAGCTAGAGAGTTCCAGAAAGACATCTACTTCTGCTTCATTGACTATGCAAAAGCCTTTGACTATGTCGACCACAGCAAACTATGGCAAGTTCTTAAAGAAATGGGAGTGCCTGATCACCTCATCTGTCTCCTGAGAAATCTCTATGTGGGACAAGAAGCTACAGTTAGAACTGGATATGGAACAACTGATTGGTTCAAAATTGGGAAAGGAGTACGGCAAGGCTGTATATTGTCTCCCTGCTTATTTAACTTATATGCAGAATTCATCATGTGAAAGGCTGGGCTGGACGAATCCCAAGCCGGAATTAAGATTGCCGGAAGAAATATCAACAACCTCAGATATGCAGATGACACAACCTTGATGGCAGAAAGTGAGGAGGAATTAAAGAACCTTTTAATGAGGGTGAAAGAGGAGAGCGCAAAATATGGTCTGAAGCTCAACATCAAAAAACCGAAGATCATGGCCACTGGGCCCATCACCTCCTGGCAAATAGAAGGGGAAGAAATGGAGGCAGTGAGAGATTTTACTTTCTTGGGCTCCATGATCACTGCAGATGGTGACAGCAGTCATGAAATTAAAAGACGCCTGCTCCTTGGGAGAAAGGCGATGGCAAACCTAGACAACATCTTAAAAAGCAGAGACATCACCTTGCCAACAAAGGTCCGTATAGTAAAAGCCATGGTTTTCCCAGTAGTGATGTATGGAAGTGAGAGCTGGACCATAAAGAAGGCTGATCGCCGAAGAATTGATGCTTTTGAATTATGGTGCTGGAGGAGACTCTGGAGAGTCCCATGGACTGCAAGAAGATCAAACCTCTCCATTCTGAAGGAAATCAGCCCTGAGTGCTCACTGGAAGGACAGATCCTGAAGCTGAGGCTCCAATACTTTGGCCACCTCATGAGAAGAGAAGACTCCCTGGAAAAGACCCTGATGTTGGGAAAGATGTAGGGCACAAGGAGAAGGGGACGACAGAGTATGAGATGGTTGGATGGTGTTCTTGAAGCTACCAGCATGAGTTTGATCAAACTGCGGGAGGCAGTGGAAGACAGAAGTGCCTGGCGTGCTCTGGTCCATGGGTCATGAAGAGTCGGACACGACTAAACAACAACAGAGACATCCTGATTCAATTGCAGATTGCAGTGGCTTTTGGGTTGGGGTAAAAAGCCAAGCACGGCCATTGTTTGCTATTGTCTGTGTGAAGGGGCAAGCTATGGCACACATTAAGGGGTTTAGTGAACATGGTGAGGCCTGAATAATAGGATGCCATTCATCTTTCCATGTTCAGTCTTGTATCTGTTGGGAGTTAGCTCAAAGTTTTAACATCATTCAACTTCCCTGCCACCCACCCACTGTCTAGTCCTGAGGGATATGCCCTTTAATTTTAACTGAAAAGCGGGGATCATTATAGATGCTCTCTGGCGTAGACCATGCTTGCTGGGGCTGATAGGAGATGTAGTTCAGCAACATCTGGAGGGCCAGATGTTGCACTAGGGAACGGATGCCTCCTCATTTTATCTCTCTTCTGAATGTTGTGGATTTGACTGGTTTGCACACCCCAAAGTCCAAGTTCTGTTCCCAAGGTAATCTGAATCCTGTGTTTGGAATAAAACCTGTATGCATAGGGGTTTCATGTGCTTTAGGATGGTTTTACAGAGAACATGACTGGGTCAGGAAAGCAAAGGGAATGAGGAAGGTATAGAGAAGACCTTTGTTTAAGCTGTGAAGCCCTGTTTGATTTCTGTGCCTTCCCCAAATGTAGCTCTCCACCTTCCCCCCACCCAATGAGGGGAAGTGGTAGCACAGTAGATAAGGCCTTTCTGGTCCTGGCATCCTGGTTATGCAGTGTCCTCCCCAGGGAGGATTGTCTTACCCCCCGCCTACAATATTTTTTGCTATTCACATCTCTCCTGATTTTTTTGTCAATTATATTTGCCAACTTGGTGCAGATTTTTATATTCTAGTACAGGTAGTGACCATTTTGGGTTGGGGTTCTGTTCCTCGCCCCTGCATGTGCACCCTGTCCCCCACATTCTGCCCTCTTCCGGGTCCAAAATCACCCACGTGTCAGTGGCCACACATCAATTGGACACACACAAAATGGTCGCTGTCTGAGTACAAATACTATTTGTCAATTTTGGGGTTGTATTTTCTGATTCTAAGTTTGCAACTGTCCAGCGACCTTGGTTGATGGGTGGTATAGAAATGTCTCGATTGAATAAATTAACCTCAACGGCTCCAGATCTTGCTGAAGTTCTCAAGAAACAAAATAATTTACTGGTCTCCTGATGTTCATCTGGGAAGCATTGGATTGCATCCAGCTAATTTATTCTCAGAGTAGGCCCCCTGAAATTTATAGGCCAACGTTAGTCATGCACATTAATTTAAATGGGTCTACTCTGAGTAGGACTAACATTGAATGCAACCTGTTGGGTGGTTTTCAGCTCAGTTTTACTCAGAGTAGACCCACTGAATTCAATGGCCATGACTAAGTTAATTTCAGTGGGTCTACTTAGCTGAATACCACCCACTGTGTGGGATGATGGGAAGCAAATCCATTTTTGTAATGAGAACTTAATTGGTTTCCTGTGTTCTACCTCCCCCACCCCAGAGAATATTTGGAGAAGCTGCTGAAAAGAATTTGTATCTTTCTCAGCTGATTATATTGGATACACTGGAAAAATGTCTTGCTGGGGTGAGTAGCCTGCTTAACATGAGTTGCCTTTGCGAATTCTACATAGACAATCTAATTGTGAAGATGTGTGAAATGTCTGTCTCCTGAAATAGTCATGTTCTTGATGATAATATGTCAGATTTGTAGAAAGTCACTCCCCTGTTATGCTTGAGAGGTTGCCTCCAAATGCACTTGAACTATGGTGTGTTTTAACTTCTTTACGTGTTGATCTACATACCAAATGAATTTAATAAAAATAATATAGAAGTGACTTCCAGGCAATCAGGGATTTTTTTGTAAACGGACAGTTTCAAACTGTTGCAGTGCTACAAACAACTGTCTAGAAAATGTAGACAAGTGGGCTAATAGCATTTTCGTGGCAGCAATTTGCAGGGTAGAGAGCCAAGTCCTGCAGCTGATTGCTGATATTTGTTTGCCTTTTTGCTGAATGCATCAGGAAATGGATGCAACTTTCTTTGTAACTAATTCCTGTATGCATGTGCTTTTTTTTTAATGTGACTAATTCTGGAAAGGAAAATAATATTGGACTTGAAAAGCAAACTTAAAGATTTTGGTATCTTTGGCTCTAAATATTGCATCAAAAAAGGGTGTTGATGCAGCTTGATATACGAAAAAGAAAAAAGAAGGAACTTTTGTGTTTACTTGTGGCTCAGCCAGTGCAAAGAGATAAGACTTTTTCCACTTTAAAAGTTAAATTTTTTAAACATAAGTCCACCTGAGCTCTCCTGTGGTTTTCTTTCAATTTGGCCTAGTTTTGTACACAGATAAATTGAGCTTACTCCCTGGCTGCTAAAGATGACTTTTGCAGGTGCTTCCTAGTTTACATTAGTTAACTTTGTCTAAACTTCCAGTGGGAATGCAGTACTGAGGTTTCCAGAAAAGTGATCCTATTTTCACTTAACTTTGTTCCTGGAGTCTCTCTGCTTTTTCCCTCTTTTGCAACCTTGGGAATGCAGTTAGTGGTTTAGCCCTTTCTGCAAAGCTGTAAAGCCAAACTTGGGCTCTGGTGAAATCTAAGAGTCTTTGTTTATTCCTGAGGGTTTCCTTCACACAGTTCCAAGCTTACTGTAATGAGATCAGCTGTAAGCTGCTTGTGATTCCCCATACTGGTTTTAAAAGATCGCTTTCCAAGCCATTGCAGACGGAATAGTTCATGGCTTGTCATTTGACACCTGTGTAAACATACTTGCAGACAATCTATAAATGTAGTCATGAGACCCGCAGCATGTTCCTCTCCTTCTCTGAGCAGCAGAGCATTGGATCGAGCACGCGACTCCCCTTCTCTGGACCGTGTGCAAGGCTCACCCATTAGGCAAGGTGATCCCTTTGCCTCAGGTAGTGGATCGTTCTCGTGTGCCCTCCTTCCCACTGCCCCCCCTCTATAGCCTCTGCTGGCCTGCAGAGGCTGTCTGGGTCAATGGCTATGACTGTTGCAGAGGTACCGGTATTGTTAAGGACCGTTCACGCCACTTGCCTGTGCCTCCATCTGAAGAAGGGTCCTTGCTCACAGCAAGGTGTGATGGGCAAGATGGAGCTGCAGGACATCTATTTAAAATTGCATAGTTTTACGACAGGGGAAAAAATAAAACCACTAAACAATAACAAAGTACAGTTAAAATCGATAGAAAACATTAAACTATGGAGCTAAAATCACTTTAAAAGTCATTAAATCACTTTAAAAGCTTGGCATCTCAACTAAGATATAGGGGTGCTACCACTGAAAAGACCCTTTTCCTGGTCCCCCCCCCCGTTAATTGCTGATAGGCAGAAAAGGGTTTCTGATGCAGATTTTGAGGCGCAGGCAGGTTCAAGAGGAGAAAGGCGGCCAAGGAAAAGGATAGAGAGCTGCTTCTGCAGGGACATAACAAAAGGATAGCAGCGACCTTTTCCCCAGCCACATTAAGGGTTCCTCAAGGGTCATTATAACACCCTGCTGTAAGTTATTGTGACAGATGTGGCTGGTTCATGTGCAGCATTTCCCCACAGCCTGGTGGCGAGATGTGTCTCATGAGTTCAAGCACACACATCTTGTTTACAAAATACTGTGATAGCTTGGGAGTGGAGCAGATTTCCTGGGTTACTAACAATGGGGGAAAAGAACTGTGAAAATGCTTCAGGCAGGCAGTCACTTACAAACTGTCCTCCTAGCAACCAAAGGACACTATGAGGCTCGATGAGACGATGCTGGTCAAGCAGTTGTTGCCGGAGATCTGTCACTTTATCCACACCTACCGCGAAGGGAATCAACACGCAGCAGAGCTTCGCAATTCTGCCTCTGGAGTTCTCTTTTCTCTCAGCTGCAACAATTTCAACGCCGTCTTCAGCCGCATCTCCACCAGGTGAGTGAGTGAAAGATGCTGCTTTCCCCATCGTTCCTAGAAGGCCCATTTAATAAATAATGATTTTATTATTTATACCCCGCCCATCTGTCTGGGTTTCCCCAGCCACTCCCCATTTAAAATATTGTCACAATTTTCTGACCCCAGTCAGCCTCTATCATGTATAAATATCAATACAGCTCAAGGAAGGTTAAAATCAGTGTGGTTGATTGAGCTTCTGAGTGTCAAGTCTCTTCTGACCTAGTATAGTCTATTTCTACACCTTGCTTCTGCTTGTGGGCTGTTGGGTCATCTCTTGAACGCAGGTGTATGTTAATACAGTGGTACCTCAAGTTACAAATGCCTCAGGTTACAAACGCTTCAGGTTACAAACTCCGCTAACCTGGAAGAGTTACCTCAAGTTTAGAACTTTGCCCCAGGATGAGAAAGGAAATTGTGTGCCGGCAGCACAGCGGCAGCAAGAGGCCCCATTAGCGAAAGCACGCCTCTAGTTAAGAACAGTTTCAGGTTAAGAACGGACCTACGGAACGAATTAAGTTTGTAACGAGAGGTACCACTGTAATTTTGATTCATTTAGAAGGCTTTGCATCAAGTCAGACCTAAAGAATTGGAAACCAAACAAGCTGAAGATGGATATTTCATTAGTCGTCTTCTTTCTTTGGCGATCACTCATAGCCGAGTAAGATTGTCTTCCATAAACACAGTTTTAACAATGAGTCCGTAAGTGACTGTGGAGGCCAATTCTGGATCCACACGTCCTTCCACAGTGGGGACTTTGGTTTCCGGATGGGAGTTGATCACAGTGTGGATTTGTCAAGCGTGCCTTCCTCCTAGCACGTTTCTCCCTTGCATCTTGAGTATGAGCGTCTTCAAAGCCCATGACACCTTTGGTAAAGGCTGTTCTTCAACTGGAGCGCTTGCAGGGCAGTGTTTCCCAATTGTTGGTGTTTATACTACATTTTTAAAAATTTGCCTTGAGACAGTCTTTAAATCTCTTTTGTTGACCACCAGCATTACGCTTTCCATTTTTAAGTTTGGAATAGAGTAGTTGCTTTGAAAGATGATCATCAGGCATCCGCACTACATGACCAGTCCAACGAAGTTGATGTTGAAGAACCATTGCTTCAACACTGGTGATCTTTGCTTCTTCCAGTACACTGGTATTAGTTCGCCTGTCTTCCCAAGTGATGTAATGTTTCATAGGGGGACAAATTAGAGCTCTGTGGTAGCATGGTTCAAGCCCTGACATAAGATAATTTTCCTGCTCAAGACCCTCAAGAACTGCTGCCGCTCAGAGGAGACAATGCTGGTCTAATTGGGCAAATCATTTAAGGTATAAGGCAGCTTCCTGTGTTCCCCTATGTGAATTTTGGATCCAGAAGTGGAGAGCATAGGAGCAACGTCAGGCTCTAGTGAGCAGGTAGAAAGTCCTGCAGTTAAAGGGTACCTCAACTAAATTTTAAGGGTCTTTTTATAACCTCTGTTCCAAGGAGTTGTTCTTGGCAGCCAGCTCTGGAGGATGTGGGTTTTCTCTTTTTTGCTAAATGGCTTGATGGAGAGTAGTTCCATACAGAACGGGAGACACTGCATTTCCTTTATGGGGAATAGTCAGAAACAATTAAATAAAAACCTCTCCTTGAACTAACTTCTGAGTGTTGTTTGGTCTCATATTTCCTGTTCTTGGCTGCATGGACCTGGGAGGGGACCATGAAAGAGAGAAATCGTTTCAAATGATGTTCTTGCTCAGAAATTAATTTAAACATTTGGCCATTCATTGCTTGTCCCCATGGGTTATTTTGCCGGGGGGCGGCGGCGGGGTGTTCAGTGGTGCAGGCTTAGCGTTGTGGGTCCTGTGACCCATGCTTTTGAATTCCTGGCACATTCCCATGTCATGCCAGAGTTAAGTCTTTCTCCACATAGATGAAATGAAGAGCTCCCTTGCTGGTTGGCGCTGGAAGTTACGTATCATGTCGCGCACACACATCTGTAGATTTAAGACCGAGCAAAGCAGTTTCTCAGCTTGCGCTCAACACATGATTTAGATATTAGTTGCATGTGGGCCAAAGTGCTGAATCACCAAGTGTGTGGTGTGGGTGGGAGAAAAATCTGTGAGATGCACTTAAGACTTCATGGCTAATTGAATTCATTAGGGTCAAGGCAAAAGAGGGCAGTGAGGCGCCATGGGGTTGGTTTGTTTTTTTGACAGAATGGGCTGTGAAGCTGCGAATAACTTCACATTCAGCTCAGATCTATGCTTATGTGAAGTCCTCTAGCATATTGAGGTGGACTTCAAATGCACATGGACATGTGGCCCCTCAGGCTCATGCATTAAAAAAATTACTAACACAATTTGGTAAATTAATAACATGATTTGGAGATTAGCTAGCACAGACTTGCCTATTCTGCTTTTGTCCCCTGGCCTCATAAAATGAAAGCCTGTTTCAGGCACTTAATGCACTGGTGATTTTTTTGCATGGCCAAGGGAGTGGGTATGTGCTTCCACATGTTTAATGTTAGATGTAAACCCTACCTGTGGAGACATATCTTGCGTGATTTGTGCACCTTAAGAAGGGGGCAAGGGAGGCGACAGGAATCTGGATTTAAGTGTGTAGGCAGCACCTTCCTCACATCATGCAATATCCGTGGTGAATAACCATCTTAACCTGACCATGTCAATGTCAAAAAGGGGAAAAAATCAAAATAGTTCTGTGGAATCCCCGTACTTTTAACATGGCTTTATTTCTTGTTGGCCGCTCTGAGAACTCTGCTCTCAGGTAAACTATAAATCCTATCAAACAGCTAAGGAAATAAAATTAATGGTTAGTGTGGAAATTGAATGAAAAGGAAGTGTTGGCAAGTTCTGAATCTTTAAAATCCAAAGCATGGCTGTGTCGCCTTTGTGCATTTGACCAATTCTGGTTGTCCTGAACATCTGAGTGCATTATCATTTCACATTGTCCCCTCTCCCTTCATTATGTCAAAAGTCCATCCATTTTGAGAAGCTGCTTGTTTTTTGCAGATTGCAGGAATTGACTGTGTGCTCTGAAGACAATGCTGATGTTCATGACATTGAACTCTTACAGTACATCAGTGTCGACTGTGCTAAACTAAAGCGTATACTGCAAGGTAAGTGGGTCTTGCTCCTAAGTATATATCCTTAAGGACAGGGTGCTACAGTTCCTCCTATTGATCTAGCTCAGTGATGGCCAAACTTGGCCCTCCAGCTGTTTTGGGACTACAGTTCCCATCATCCCTGACCACTGGTCCTGTTAGCTAGGGATGATGGGAGTTGTAGTCCAAAAACAGCTGGAGGGCCAAGTTTGGGAAACACTGATCTAGCTTGACTAATAATTGCCTGTGCATAAGCATTGTGTAGATGTTGTTTGTGGTTTGTTGAAATATGAGCTGTGCCAAAGCACCAAGGCAATTTACAATTAAAATATTAACACAAACAAATGGTGCGAAATATTCTCAGGCCTGTTTCAGCAGCTGTTGGTACTGTCACCTTGGCTTTTAGTCACCCTGGCTTCTGCCTTCCTTCAGGTCACACAGTTTTTAGTTTCTTTTATCTGGGGGTGGGGATGTTTGTTGTATGCTATTTTTGTATTGCTTTTCTATTATTTGTTTGTTTTATTTTTATTTGACAGAATTCATATGCCACTTGATTTGTAAGAAAACCTCTAAGTGGTTTGCAGAAACCTAAAAGAGGTTTACAAATAATCTTTTCTAGCCTCCCTATAGCTGCTGCTTGCACATGAGGGAGAAAATTTGCAGGTAACTATGATACCTGCAAATTTGTCTGTGCTGGGTAGGTAGTGGTTTTGAGGATGCATCAAGAATATGGCACAAAGGCAAGTGCCATGATTCCAGTATAATCTGCATTCTCTCTCTCTTTTGCCACCTCCTGGCTCCTCATGATTTCAGTTTTTACTTTTTCAGTCAGTTTAGCCCTGATTTTTACTTTTGAAAGTTGATAGATATGTTAGTAGTATTACTCTCCTGTTAACAGCTGGCTGGAGTTGGGGAGATTCTTGGACTGAGATGAAAAAGAAGTCTACTCCTGGCTGAGGTGCAGTTCAGGAGTTTCCTGGCTGCTGCTTTTGTTATTAAAGTTTATTACTTTTTCCCCACCCCACCTTTTCATTTTTAGTGCTCAAGGTGGCTTGCAGCAAATTAAAGCATCAGTAAAATAAAATAAATCCCAAACACAGAGGAATAAAACAACGGATAAAACACATGTTTAAGGAAATTAAAAACTAGCTGATTTTAAGGACCTGATGTTTGCAAACGAACAAACAAAACACCCACAATCTTCACATAGAGATGGAAGGCCATCACAAGCGGGAGGAGGAGAGAGGGTTTCGCAGCAATACCGGTTCCATAACGGAGGCACCATCACAACCCCTCCTAAACACCACTCAAATACATTTCAGATATTGGAGGGATGTGAAGGAGTCTGTCCAGGAGATCTTAATGTACAAACATTGGCCCCTCCCCACCACAATGGTCTCCATAAGAATAGTCAAGTACTGTAATTTCTTTCAGTAGTTCAAGATACTGATTTGAAGCAGTGTTAGAAACTGGGATACAAAAGCTAGGAGCCAAATAGCTCCTGGGTTGTGGGTGCCAAAACAGAATGTCTAGTCGCCATTTTTTGGGGGGGAGGGGGTCAGCAACACTTTTTATTTATTATTTTCATAAGCATGAACTAATGCACAATACACATTGTTAATATCACATTTTAACAGAAATTGTTAATACATGTTTAACTTGGTGTGTACAATAAAAATATTTGTACCATACTTCAGTTTTCAAAACACGCTACTCTTTATTGTTACACTCCTTAACCTATTGTCGATCCATAACATATACTTCAAGGCTTCTAAGCACATACATTTCAGTAATCCTTGAGTGTCAGCCAGGTGCAATACCTAAACCTTTTGAGGTGCTCGCAAATGGAGAATCTTTAGGTGCAAAATGTATCCGGCGCTCTGTTAATTCCGAACCCTGATTGGAAGTATAAAAATAATGGGCCATGATGCAGCATTTGCTACTTGGGTGGCTGTTTAGGTGATTCTCAGGCAGTTTTCGTAGCATTATTGTCATCTTGCACATTGTACGAGTGGATATTTTTTTTCTTGTTTTCACAGAAACGGCCTTTAAATTTAAAGCCCTCAAGAAAGTAGCACAACTGGCAGTTATCAACAGTCTTGAAAAGGTAAGTTTCCTCCTGGCTTGTAAGTCTTCATAAGCTGCAAGAGTGTAGGTGTCTGCTCATAGGTTGTTGTGGGTTTTTGTGGTACTGGAGTGCATACCCAGTTCTCTTTCTGCTGGAAGGAGAGAGCCAAAATCAGGCCATGCAAAACTATCGAAAAACCTTCGCTTTTTGTTTCTCAGAAGAGCATCCCCGCAGCTGGATCACACTAAGGACTCTCCTAGTCTGTTTTCCTCTTTGTCCGCAATAACCATCCAAATACCTCTTCAGGGAAGCCCACAAGGAGGGCATGGACATAATAGTCTTCTCCTGGTATTATTCCCTAAGCAACTGGTATTCAGAAGCATATAGTCTCTTATCTTGGAGTTAGCATACAGCCATTGTGGCTAGTAGGCATTGATAGGCATATTCCCCACGAATTTTGTCTGCAGCTCAGTTTCAGAGCATCTGCTTTGTATGCAGGTACGCTCCCCAGCATCTCCAGGTAGGGCCGCACAAGACCATGTGGTCTGTAGCGAGTGAAGTGGCTCTGAGAGCTTTGCCAGATGAAACTGGAAAGGGGACGACTGTATCGCTCGTCACCATTGCTGCTGAACAAAATAAATTCCCTGAACTAACTGTGCTTTTATATTCCACAGGCATTTTGGAACTGGGTGGAAAACTATCCGGACGAGTTTACTAAGCTGTACCAGACACCGCAGACAGATCTGGCGGGTAAGGCATCAACAGAAGTTGGATTGCATACCTTATTAAGTGGTGTGGGGTCTCTCCAGTTAACCACTATTTGCCTCAACGGTTGCCTGATTTCAGAGGTCACCCACTTCAGTACGGAGGAGAAGTTGCACTCCTCCTTTTTCCACTCCAGCAGATTGAGGGCAGGTCTATATTGCTGGCAAACTTCAGTGGTCGACTTATTTCCTGCAAAATCCCATTGGGTCCTAGGGTTCTTCCCTTAGCAGAAAATGTCTGTATATGCAGAAAGCTAATATATGAAAGGGAATAGGAATTCTTGATATGTAGCTTGATATTCGGGGAGTTCCTTATGAGGAGAGCATTCAAGTGTGCTTTTGTGATCTGAAGCTTGAAATGTCCAAGGAGAGTTGTACCATGTGTTTGGTTAAATATCTAGCCTGCCCGTGATAGAACATGGTCAAATACTTGTTTCTGTATTAAAAACATTGCTGAAATGAAATCCTACATTTGACAATGAATAAGCACATAAGAAGAGCCTCCTGGGTCAGGCAAATGGCCCACCTAGGCCAGCATCCTCTTCTCACAGTGGCCAGGTGCCTGTGGGAAACCTTTCAAGCGGGACCTGAGCGCCACAACCCTGTCCCCACTTGCATTTCCCAGCTACAGTGGTACCTCAGGTTAAGAACTTAATTCGTCTGGAGGACTGTTCTTAACCTGAAACCACTTTAGCTAATGGGGCCTCCTGCTGTTGCCACGCCACCAGAGCACAATTTCTGTTCTCATCCTGAGGTAAAGTTTTTAATCCAAAGTACTACTTCCGGGTTAGCGGAGTCTGTAACCCGAAGTGTCTGTAACCTGAGGTACCACTGTACAGTAGTACCTCGGGTTACATACGCTTCAGGTTACAGACTCCGCTAACCCAGAAATAGTGCTTCAGGATAAGAACAGAAATCGTGCTCCGGCAGCACTTCAGCAGTAGGAGGCCCCATTAGCTAAAGTGGTGCTTCAGGTTAAGAACAGTTTCAGGTTAAGAACGGACCTCTGGAACGAATTAAGTACTTAACCCGAGGTACCACTGTACTGGTATTGAGAAGCATACTGCCTCCAACTTGGGGTGTTTCCCCTTTCAACAGCAGTGTTATCGCAGTGCTATGAAATACCATTCCTGTGGTAAACATGGGAGGTATTTCAGCTTTTGCACCTCACCCTACCTGGAAGTAACTGCATGTGTTATCTCCTCCTCCCTCCGTCGCAGATTGCGCAGAGAAGCTGTTTGATTTGGTGGATGGATTTGCCGAAAGCACAAAACGCAAGGCGGCTGTTTGGCCCTTGCAAATAATCCTCCTCGTCCTGTGTCCAGAAATCATCCAAAACATTAACAAGGATGGGGTGGAGGAGAACAAAATAAACAAGGTAAAGGGAGCTGCAATACCATCTCTGGCTGGTGCCAGTCCGGCTTTCATATATGCATATAGATGATTTAAACACAAATAAGTAAGCAAGCATGTTGATTAAGAGGCTGGACTGGAACTTCTCTTTCTCTCTTGTTACATGCAAATAATTTGCATATGATTCTTCCTTGAATCTAAGAGCTTGAATACTTAAAAGCCTTTTGCTTCATTATTCTCCCTTTTTAAGTTTTCCTGCAACTAGGAAAAATATCCCACTTTGCTGATCTAGTACTGGTGTCTGAGAGACCCCAGTTGAGTCACGGTTTTTAAAATCTAATGAGATGCTTTAAAATCTTTGTTGGGACTGGTGTCTCTTCCTAATGGAAGGAGTGCTCCCCGAAAGAAGAAAATTTCCTAGCGCGTAGCAAAGTAGCACATGGGAGAGAATGCTAGGCGAGAAACCTTTGCTCTGACATTCTAGTTTTCTGTGTGCAGGGAACATTATCCATGAAGGGGCATTCTGCCCTCTCAGCCTTCTGAAAGGGGTAAAGTCCAGACACAGATTGACTGTGTTGGTGAGAACTAGGTTGTAGACAGTGGCGTCAGTTTTGTGTGTGCTTAATTTTTTTGTGTTAAGGATTATTCCTTCTAGTACTGTGGCATAGTAATATAAAGATGGTTCTAGGCATTGGTTATGGTCTTAATATGATAAAGCACAGACTACACAAAAGCTAATGCTGGTTCTCATCATATTCATTTATATGCTGCTTTCCCACATAATACCCGAAGTGGCTAACAAAACCTACAAGCATGCAAGTGCAACAGAAGCAACAATCATTTCACAATGTAATATGCAAATCCACATTAGGAAATCCACATAGGAAAAGTGTTCTAGGTGCCTTCCGCAGCAGGAGCAGCCTTTGCAGGAAGGAGTCAGCCAAGGCCCTGGTCTCTGAGGCCAGGTGGAAGGAAGCCAGACAGAGAAGCAGGAACCGACTCTTGCAGTACTGTCCTCAAGGCAGATCAGTGACTGATCTGGAATTTGAGCCTTGGTATCTCAGGATGGAGTTATAAGTTCTTTTCTCTTTCTGACCGATTTTGTGTTTTGAATCCTACAGAAGCTATTTTTGGACAACCTCAGGAAGGCACTTTCAGGCCACAGTGGAAGCAGACAGTTGACAGAAAGTGCTGCCATTGCTTGCGTTAAGTTGTGCAAAGCATCGACCTACATCAGCTGGGAAGACAACTCTGTCATTTTCCTTCTAGTTCAATCCATGGTGGTAGATCTGAAGGTAAAAAGATTTTGTAGTGCTCTGTGTGTGTGTGTGTATTTCAGCTTAGGATTTTGAACTGTTAAGTGAAACTTTCATGGCTCATTGTTGCAAAGAGTGGTTAAGAGAAGCTTCGCCATGGCTTTGTGTGAGGTCTGAATTCACAACTCCTATTTAACAGAAACTGTTTCCCCTCCCGGGGCTGCTGCACCTGGAAATGGAAGTGAGCTTGAAGCTGTGGGAAGAAATGGAAGCAGAGCCATAGTTTACTTATTGGACACCTAGAAACTGAAACCATGGTGTGGGTTCTAAATTAGAGTTGGCACAAACTGTTGCTTGATGTGATGACAGAATTGAGCTACAGTTTGATTGGTCAGGGTGTGCTATTTTGTGCATATACAGGATTTTTGTAAAATAATATCTAGGCAAAGAATTATACCCTACTGATAAAATCAAAAGTTGGTTGTGGGGGACTGAGAGTTGGCCATAGACCGAAACTCTCACTTTAGCATGGAGCAGGCTTGACCAAACTCTTCCAGCTACATAAACATCTCTCTCACTGGACACCATGTGTATGGAGGTGTAGGGGAGATAACAGGTGGTATTCAACTAAATTTTACTCACAATAAACATATTGAAATTAGTGAACGTGTCTAAGTTACATAGAATAGTTTCAAAGGATCTCTTCTGAGTGAAACCTAGTTGAATGCCACCAAATAACACTGGGAGGCCTGTGTCTTTTACCAGATGGCCCAAGGAGAAAGCTGCATAGAAATCCTTAAAAATCTTGCAGGGGGTTGTCCTCTTGCTTGCTTACCAGTGACAACTGAGACTTATGACAGGGCCCTCCAGATGTTGGGATAATGGGAGTTGGAGTCCCACAACATCTGGAGGGCCACAAGTTCCCTATTTCTGGCTCAAGCCACTCAGTGGCATCAGTTGATGTCTGCTTCAGAGCAGACCCATTGACTTGACTTCCTTGGCCAATGTACGCCTCCCTCCATTGCAAGGCATGCTTTTTTCATTAGCGTAAATAAAAGGTTCACTAGTTCCCAAAAGATTGCTGTTCCTGTTCTTATTGGGGGACAAAAATACTTCCTCAAATAGCCGCTTAATCCTTTAGAAAAGATGGGCTACTTTGCTCTTCTCATTCTCTGAAGAGTAGCCCCGCGGCACGTGCCGACCAAAATAACTGCGGCACATGTTTGTTGGTTTTTCAGAACCTGCTCTTCAATCCTAGCAAGCCGTTCTCAAGAGGCAACCAGAATGCGGACATAGACCTCATGATCGACTGCTTAGTGTCTTGCTTCCGCATCAACCCACACAATAACCAGCACTTCAAGGTGAGGCTTGTGGCTCTGCAGGCACATGCTCTCTAGCCTGAGGCTATTTTTGAGCCGCTGGATATGAAGGATGGATGGGTCAGCAGTGGTTGGGGAGTCATGAATAATAGAGAATTCTGTTTCTCAGCAATTACAGTTTGAGTGTTTTCTAGAAATCTATTTTTAGGTAGCTAGCTTTCAGGATACCTTTCCTGCTGCTCTTTAGTGACTTTCAAGTTTTGAATTGACTGAAGAAGCCCTAGTAATCTTTTATTTTCTTTGGACCCAGTCCACCAAGAACCCCTCCCTTGAAAACCCAACAACATGGGACCACTGTGAGACCAGGCTACCTGAAAGGCTGCCTGCCTCCTTATAGACCTATAAGATCACTTAGAACATCTGGGAAGACTCTACTAGTAGTCCCATGCCTTTCAGAGTACCTATCATTGGGTGGTGACCCCAAAGCCGGCATTTTCTGCTGTTGCTCCTGTACTGTGGAATGCCATTCCCTCTGCTATATACAAAGCAGCCACCACCAGTTGCTTCAGGCGTTCTGTGAAGATATATCTTTTTGTTCAGATTTTTCCTAGCCTGTAAGGTTTGACCCCACTTTACATGTTTGAATCCTCCATATTTCTGTTTCTATTTGTTTCCATACATTTTCATGGGTTTTTATATTGTTTTGTTGGATTTAGGTTGGGTCTTTGTTTCAGTTATACGTTTTGTTTTCACATGACTTAGATTTTTAAAAAATCTTTAGTTTAATTTTTCTTTTAACTAAATAAATAGGTTGCACGGGGAAAGGTGTTCACTTCATTCCTGCAGAAAAGTGTCCTTTAACAAGTCCTGCTCATTTCGATGGCGCTTGTGCTGCAGAGTTTTGTAACCCATTGACTTCCGGGTTTGTTGCAGAAGGAAACCTTATAAATGTTTCCCTTTCTCTTTTCTAGACTTGCCTGGCACAGAATTCCCCATCAACATTTCATTATGTGCTGGTAAATTCACTCCACCGTATAATCACAAATGTAAGTTATTGAGTTATCAAAAAGACTTGGTAATTTGTTCAGAAATGGTAATGATTTGATTAGAAGTGGAGAAGGAGAATGGGACTGGGGGAAGGTGGAGAGCTTACCTCTTGAAGTCACGTGGGCAATTGCATTTCAAGGGTGGAGTATCCCCCAAACCAGCAGAGGCTTTCTAGACATCAGAATCCCATTTCTAATGCCCATCTATTGATACGTTGGCATTCCATCAGCAACTGTAGATGCCAAATGTACGTGATAAGTAGTATCACTGAAAATTGTAAACTGTATATAATAACTTGGGAAAGCCACTGTCCCTTCGCTAACCTGCCTCACAGGGTTGTTATGAGGATAAAATGGGAAGTGAGCGAATCATGTCTGCCACTGCGAGTTCCTTGGAGGGAAGGTGGGATAGAAAAGTAATAATATAAATAAATAGTAGACACTTAGCATGGATGGGAAGGTCAGGATTTGGCCCTGAAATTGCATGCTTCCTTCCTTCAGATGTGCAGACACCTACAACGTTCTTTATCTTGATTTCACATTTATGTCTGCATGGCTATAAACCGGTTAAGGCAAGCCAGGTGAGGGCCTGACGTTTCAAGCTAGCTTCAGAATTAGAGTTTCAAATACTCCTTCAAAGAAGGCTTCCTGGTTTTCATTAGCCATCTTTAACATCCATGCAGACGCAATGGCAAAACGACGGTCAAGCGATTTGGGGAGAATTCGCCCGAGAGGGAAGGGCTTAGAGAAGGCTGCATGCAATTCCTGCGGTTTGTTCCCAGTCCCTTAGCTGTAGCTGAGAATTGGCTAGCATTATGTCCACTGTCCTTTACCAGGCCTCCCTCCACAGCAGCAAGAATGTCTTCCAGATGTTATATATGGGATTACCACCTGGAAGGGTGCTGCATTGCTCAGCACCACTGATTCATCCCCACTGGGAAGGAGGGCGGCAAGGATTCCTATTAGCTACTTCTAGAAACAGCATGAAAACAAAAACTTAACAACTGGAGACAATTGCTACCAAAGCTGTGTTTCTTTAAGCTGCCAATCCGATCAGGGCTTCTTTCCTACTGAAATTGGAAGCGCCCTTCTGCAGGAGACTTTTGCTCATGGTTATTAACGGCCGTTGGCTCCCCACTCCTCCGTTTTTCTGAGTTCTGAGAGCCAGACAAAAGCTTTAGGTTCAGCTCTCCGCTCAGCCATGAAAGCCTGCTGGGTGACTGTGGGCCAGTCATTACTTCACAGCCTAACCTACCTCACAGGGTGGTTGTGAGGATAAAAAGGAGACGGGCAGAAAAGTGTACACCCCCTAGAGCTTCCTTGAGAAAAAGTGGGATGTAAATGTAATAGCAACATAAAGAAGAAAATAGGGATCTTCCCTGGAGGCTTTCAAGGGATCGCTGAACATGAGTCAGGGATGCTTTAGGGACGCGATTCGCAGGACCAGGCTGCTGGGCCTGTGTGCCCCATTGAAATCTTTTCTAGGTTTCATTTTGTGATCTCTGTTGGTATTCTCTCTCCCCACCCCCGCCGTTCCCTTAGTCTGCACTTGACTGGTGGCCCAAGATTGACGTTGTATACTGTCATTCAGTGGAACTCCGCAGCATGTTTAGTGAAACCCTCCATAAAGCTCTACAAGGTTCTGGCGTGCACACCCCGATTCGCATGACACCGGTAAGGCCCCGCTCCTCATTTTTCAGTTGTTAGATTTTGTTGTTGTTAAAAAAAGGAAGTGTGTTCATTACTTCTCCTTGATGTTCTGTTATATCATAGAAGGTGGTACAAATGCCACAGTCCTTAAAAGCAGAAGTTCTAACTCTTTCCCCAATGATATTTCTAGCGTCCCAAGCAAATCCCAGGTTTGGATTTGTCCCAAGTCAACCAAGAAGAGAGTTTGGCTAGTGGTACGCTTTACTTCCAAGACCATAGGAAGGAAAGTCAAACACGAGTAGACTTGGCTACTGGAGTGCCTGGGCTTTGGATCCTATGCCATTCCAGAAATATTTGAAGGGTGAAATTTACATGGGACGGGTGGGTCAAAGGAGTACTGCCCACAACAACATTGCCTCCCCTACCCCACCCCCATTTTTTTTAGTCTTCTGACCCAGACATAGATAGTGACATGCATATGAAGTGCTTTGAAACTTGTAAAATATACATAACAATGTAGATCGTAGAAGTGATCCATTGAATGAAAAAAGTTGAATTGGGCCCGGAAACGAATTGGCAGCCAGCTCAGTCAAGCCAGGATGGGTGTAATATGCTGAAACTGTCTTGCCCCCGTGAGCAACCTGGCTGCCAAATTCTGCACCGGCTGAAATTTCCCAGCTGTCTTCAGAGGCAGGCCAAGTGTAACGGGTTGCAGTAATCTAACCTAGAGGTTTACTAAAGCATAGGCAACAATAGTTAGGGTGTCCCTGTCGAGATAGGGGCACAGCTGGGCCGCTGGCTGAAGCTGATGGAAGTTGTCTCACTGGCAGCTGCTCTCCAAGGTCTCAGACAGTGGACCTGCTATGTTAGGTCATTTAACTTGGGGGTTGGGAAACTTGTGACCATCTAGACATTGCTGGACTCCCAGCTCTCATCATCCCCAGCCTGCATGGCCCAATGGTCAAGGGATTATGGGAGTTGAAGTCCAGCAACCTTTGGAGGACCACAGGTTTTTCCATGCTTTCTTTTTAATCAAGAGATGCTAGCAGATTAAAGCTAGGGCCTTCTGCATGCTTTGCATGCGCTCTACTGCCAAGCTGTTGCTTTTCCAGCTTTGTCAGCAAATTGCAGAGATGTTTTTTCATGGAAGTTTCTTGTGCTGTCAGTTGTTTCGTTGCTCCATATTACAGCATGTCGGCAGTCCAGATCAGTGATAATGTAGGAGTGTAGAAGGAGAATTGGGTTTTTTGGTTTTTTTTGGCAACAAGAATTATGTATACTATATGCAGAGTGTTTTCTGCGAACAGTGTAGGCTTGTGGTTCTCAGGTTTTGCAGGCATTTGCCTCTGTAGTTCATGCTGGTTCCAATGCCTTGCAGCTTCTTGAATCTCTTTGTATTGTTATAGTAACAGTTGTCTCTCAGAAAAAGTAACTTCATAGGAAGCTGACACAATGGTCCATCCTAGACCAGTATTGTCAACGCTGAGAGGCAGCAGCTGTCCTTGATTTCAGGCAGGGGTCTTTTCCAGCCTTATCTGAAGATGTCAGGGATTGCCTCTGGGACTTTCTGCATGCAAAGCAGTCCTTGAGCTACAGCCCTTCCCCAAATAGTGTTCTGTTATCTTCTCTGCTGTTGATCAAAGAAACCCATTCCGCTCTTGCATATGGCTCTCCATAGTCTCCTCTCCCAAAGTTCACTCTTGCTTCTAGAGAGCTGCAGCATCTGGTGGTCCCAGACGGTTTGCCGTAGGGGGATTATGTAGAATTACATTCAGACGATTAGGGCTGCCTTGGCCCTCTTTATTTCAATGAATTCTGCATCTCTGTTGCTACTTGGTAGCTTCACATTGCATCTTTGCTTCTTAATTTGCTACCCACACTTTTTTAAAAAATGAATTAAAACCAGGTGTTGTTATACATAGATATAGCTACACACACACACACACACTCATTCTCACAGCAGCCTTGAGAGTTTGGTTCAGGTGAGGGAATGTGATGTCCCAAGCTGAGTTAAAGGGCCCTTGAGCTGTCAAGCTGTGTTGTCAGATGCAAAGGCATACCCATACAAACACACCCACTTTGCAGCTGAAACTGTTCCTCACGACTCAGCCATGGCCCTGATAGAGGAAAGAATAAGACTGATTTCTTTGGAAATTTAAGAATCTATGTGTTCATATATGGGGAGGAAAAGAACGAACAGTTGTGCATTGCAGCTCTGACACTGATTGGCGGCACTTTGTCTTCTGCTTCTTATTTTCTGTTCATATTGGCTGCTGTCGCTCACATGATCAGATGCCAACCAGTCACTGCTATGCATTGCAGTGGGCTTCTGTTGCTGTAAGTATATGACCCATTGTTAACTACCACAGAAAAGCTTTCCCTTATTTCCCCCCGTGACTTTTCTGTGTATAGTTACCACTACAGTCATGTCACTTCATTTCAGTGATTGATTATGTAGCATGCTTTCACCTGTTGGCTGTAATGAAACAATTAAAACCCATTTCACAGACCAGGTGACATGAGCGGTTTTATTCTCTCCATTATTCCCCTGCCCTCGCATCCCTTAATTTATCACAACTTGTTTTCTTAAACATGAAGTGATGCCCTCCTTCAGTATAAACTGCTAGTTCTTTTTTTTTGTTCTTTGACAAATGAGTTAACAGCAAAGATTTTTCCTGGGGCTGGTGTAAGTATAACCATGGTTAGGAGATTGGGAGCCAACCATAGGGCTGTATATTCTCCCTCTTTCAGGAGGAAATTCCTCTTTCCCGCTTCAACCATGTTTAGAGGATACATCAGCACCGACCTTCACCTTGTTTGTGACAAACTAGGGTTTCAGCATGCAGTTTAATGTCGGTTTCAAATCCTGGGTAGTCCTGACCATGGTTAAGATAAATGCTGAAGTCAGCAGTCAATGCCTTGACTGCAGTTAAGATGTGAGTAGGGAATTGGCTTCTGAAAGTGGAACCAGATGCACTCCCTTTTCTTGTTCAGAGGGAAGCACTATTAAATCTGTACTCTCATTAGATTTCTTTGTGAAAATAGTGTGCAGTTGTAACATCAGCTATCAAATACTAGATTTGAGAACAAATTCATAAACTTTTTTATTTCTGAGTAACTAAATCCATTATTATTTTTAAAAAGTTTGCAGTTTCACTGAGATGGTTTAGAGGATTTACCCTCAAAGAATGATCAACTCATTCTCTCTGCCCACCTCCCACCTTCATTTAGATAATTTGTTTTTAGTATGTTAATGCATATGATTTTGGTCCTGCTGTTGGGTGTCTTGTGTGTGTAGAAATAGAAAACAATTCATTAACATGAAAACATATTTTGTATTTTATCGCCATTAATATGCATACATTGTTGTGTGCAGATTGGGTTAGGACTGTGCCTGCTTAGTTATCAGTATCATTCTCTGCTAGGAATGAGAATACCTGTGCTTGTATTTGTGCATTTCTGCTCCTAAGGTTCAGGACTGCCAAGAATTTCTAATCTTATGACAAGGGTTGATGTGGTCATGGATTGGAGGGGAGTTTGTAAAGAGAAAGAACCTTGCCACTTGAAGGCCCTCTTGGAAACCTCCTCTGGTTCATAATACCCTGCTTGCCTGAGGCCTAGAAGCTTTAATCCTAAGTAAACTTGGATTCTTAGAGTGACCACTGATTTAATATTTTATGTTCTGCTTTTCCTAGTGATTGTCTAGCTTACATGCAGCCCTGAGTTCCATAGCTTTTGGTCAATTGCAGACAACCAAGGGAAATACTTTAAAAAATGGCCAGATTTGGATTGAAGCAGCCCATATGTTTGTTTGGTTAGCAAAAACATTCATAGATTTATTTACTCGCTTACTTTTTAAAAGAGAGATCAGCCACAATTTTAAATGGGCAGTGGTGTTTTTCTGCATTTAGTTCTTCAAGTTTTATTTTCTGTTTTTTAAATATTTGGCAGGGAGGGAACCAGTGTTGAGATGGTTGGGATGTATTGCCAAACTGTGGTTTGGTATGGCATCTGAACTGGCAGCCTTCAGCAAATCATGGTTTTTAAGAGCCTGCCAAACCAGGATCTGTTTTTTTGGAACGTGTAAGATGGGGAGAGAAGTTTCTCCTTGATTCCATTCTCCTATTTGCCATATTTTGGACATTCAGCAGCAAATACAAAAGTCACCCACGCAAGACGGAAAAAGTTTCAGTGTGAAACTGCTGAGTAGGGCTTCATTTGCTGATTTGTCATTATCTTGAATTGGGGTAAACTGAGACTGGGAGTTGCATGTTCAATGGGGAAAGCAATTTCTCCTCTGTGTACATGAGCAACATTCATCTGCTTTGCCAGTTCATTATTTACTAGTTTGGAATAAGGCCACCCCGACTTGTAGCCTTAACCACCGCGTCCCTGGACCGTAGTTCAATTTTGATTCTTCATAGTGTGATAGGTCTACAAACATCTTCTAGCCATGTTGCTTACATGGAAGCTCCATGTTCAGGGGCAGTTAGCTCTTAAGAAAGCCACTTTCTTAAGAGCAACATGTCATGGACTGGCTGGATGCAGAGGAATGGTGGGAGACAGCAGCCAGTGGAACCCCCAAGGTGCACCCCAGGGGAAGAAGCGTCAGAGCCAAGGGGTTGGTGGTGGGATGATGATCAGTGTTCAGAGAGAGAAGAGGGAGCAGACTGGGCAGAGCGGATGTTGGAAGCTGAAGGGGCAACAGGGTTTAGTAGGCAGGATGTGGCTGGGACAGAAAACAGTCCAGGTTCAGGGGCAGAAGCGGAAGCTGGAGAGAAGGTTGGTTGATCAGACAGGATGCTGAAGATTCCAGGGAGTCTCCCCCTCCTGCTGTAACCAGCTCCCCTCCTGCCTGATCTCCTAGAACATGCAGAGAAAGGAAAAAGAGCAGAGAGTGGTTGTGGGCAGGCTCAGTCTACAACTGCTTGGGAAAAATCCCGGAGAGGAGGGTACTTAGGCGACTGTGGGAAGGCAGGGACCTTCAGTCCTCACATCTGCCTCCTTGGAGCAAGAGCTACTGGGAAGAGTTGCTGGGATCACTAAGCCTGCACTGAGTTTAATTTTAACCTATTTTTATTTACATGTTCTCTATTCCTGTATACGTCCATGTCTCTGGTCTGTGGCCATAATAAATCGATTCTGATAGGCCTGCACTGTTTTGGTTGCTTTCAATAAAGCGTTAATTCACTGACATAGCATTTTAATTTATTGCTGGCCTGCACCGGACTCCAGCTCCAGACACAACAGCAGGGGAGGACTGTTGCCTTCATGACTTGCTTGTGGGCTTCTCAGAGTCATGCTCTTCTTGCGGAATACAGCACACTGGACTAGACAGACCTTCAACCTTTTCCCGCAGAGTTTATCATAATGGAACGCAAATGTCTCTTGTGCTGTTCAGCCTCCTGGCCTCACCTTGTTCTTGCTACTACTTCCAGTTCTGCGACATTCTGCTTAAGATGGAGCAACTAGAATTCTGCCCAGTATTCCAAGTGCAGCTACAAAATAGGTGGCCAGTTCTCTTGTCCCTCCTGGGCTCTTCTTTCCTGGGTCATCACAGTGGTAGATTCAGCATTGGCTAAAAGTGCTCAGGAAATAAATATTGGGATCTTTTTGAAGGTTCCATGGAAATGTCAGCTCAGCTAACAAGAAGAGGTTGAATGATAAAACCTGGCTATTCTACTCATATATAAATGCTTTCCGTTACTATGCTATATGGCATTAATTGTATAAGTATTACTTTTTAAAAGAGTGGTGAGTTACGTATTTGGAGTAATCAGTGCCTTGTTGACAGTCATATCATGTTTTTCCCCCACCCTTAGAGTCTTACATTTAAAGAGAAAATGACGAGCCTTAAGTTTAAAGAAAAGCCTACAGATGTTGAAACCAGAAGTTACAAGGTCTTGTTGTTATCTATGGTAAAGCTGATCCATGCTGATCCTAAACTTTTGCTCTGTGTAAGTAAAAGTTCTTTTTTAAAAACAAAACAAAATGAAATGAAATACCAACTCTCGGGGTTTCTTTTACAGTCTTTGAACCAAAAAACAAGGCATTGACTTGCCAACAATTTCCCTGTACTAAACTTCCATAAGAAAGTTTAGTATTGATAGCAGCTTCCATTCCAATGGCATAGAACACATGATTTGGAATGGAAAAAAGAATTAGTAACCCTTATTAGTAAGGTAAAGGTAAAGGGACCCCAGACCGTCTTGCTTTATTGGCTGAGGGAGCCGGTGTACAGCTTCCGGGTCATGTGGCCAGCATGACTAAGCCGCTTCTGGCAAACCAGAGCCGCCCATGGAAACGCCGTTTACCTTCCCACCGGAACGCTACCTATTTATCTACTTGCACTTTGACGTGCTTTCGAACTGCTAGGCTGTCAGGAGTAGGGACCGAGCAACAGGAGCTCACCCCGTCGCGGGGATTTGAACCGCCGACCTTCTGATCGGCAAGTCCTAGGCTCCACAGTGCCACCCACATCCCTTAACCCTTATTAGTAGGTTGGCATAATTTTGTGGATGCTATTATCTAAAATGACCACCCTCCTTCATCACCTGTCTCATGAACCTACGTTCGTACAATTTATAGCATACAGAATATGGCATGATTAAGTGAAAGCAGAAGAAGGAGCAGTTGTTTATGATTACTTTTATTATATTGTAGTGTTATATTTTTCATGTAAGCCACCATGAGCATGGTTTGAACTGTGGAAAGGCAATGTACAAATAGAATTATGTATGTATGCATGCATGCAACCCTATGATCGGTGTGCAGACAACCCCTTTTTTTTTTGGAAGATAGTTTCATTGCTGCATGCTTTGGTTCGTTGAGCCTAGAAAAGGAAGGTGCGCAGCATTCCTGACCCTTAGGACAAACAAAATGCCCAATCCTAGTAGAATTTTTCAATCTAAAGTTATGAAGAAGCCTGGAGTCACTTAGTATGCCCAGAAGAATCAAGTTGTTGAATGTTTCCTGGACAGTACTGCTATGCACTACAGGTAGAGGAATTGTCTGTGTTTAAATCCTCCATCTTAAAAACAAAAAATTGTTTATTGGGTGTTGATATCGACTGGATTGTATATTTCCAAACATGCAGAATCAAGCATTGCCTGTTCCTTCTTCCTAGCAGCCCGGGGTGCAACCTGAAACCTACATAGTACCTAACAGAGCCTCAGGTTGGCTACCTATGTTAATGAAGGGCTGTTTCCAGTGGTGGCAGGGAGTGTGAGCTCCCCCTCTAGTGAAGAAATATGCAAAAGTCTTACAGAAGACAAAGGTTTTCCCCAAGGATGACCTGCAGGGCAAGAGCTGACTTGGAGGATCAGGGGTCTACTTCTCTGCAATATTTTTTTGAAGTGTACAGGGAAATTACACCAGTGAATTTGGAATATGAATGTCAGTGAACCTGCACCTTATGGTTTTGTACTTTCCTTTACAGAATCCAAGGAAACAAGGTCCTGAGACTCAGGGCAGCACCGCTGAACTCATAACAGGCCTTGTCCAGCTGGTGCCACAATCCAGCATGCCTGAAATAGCACAAGAAGCCATGGAGGTCAGGAGCTAAGTGGCATGCAAGCCCGTTACTGTATTGTTTGCAGATCTGAATGTGTGTCCCCATGCCCTGCTTCAAAGTGAGCCAGTCTTCTTTTAAAAACGACAGTGTGTCACAGTCTGAAGTCCTGGCTTTAAAAATGGGCTCTCGCCCATTTCATAACAAGGCAGATTATTGCTTTGTTTTTGTTCTTATTTTTATTATGCGTTTTGTGTTTTTTATATTGTAATTTTATGCTGTGAAACTCCCTGAGATCTACAGATGAAGAGCAGAATAATAATAATAATAATAATAATAATAATAATAATAATAATAATAATAATACAATACAGTGTATGTACAGTGTTAAGTTAATTAAGTGGTTTCTCCATTTTTGGCCCCTTCAGGCCTTGCTTGTGCTCCATCAGTTAGACAGCATTGACTTGTGGAATCCAGACGCACCCATCGAAACATTCTGGGAGATCAGGTGCGTACATTGCCTGTTTTGGGCTTGGTAAGAATTGTCTGTCTCCTGACTCAATTTCCTGGGCTACACACCATAACTATAAATGATCAAAAAGTATATATAAACAATGCCGCTCTGAGGCGAGACTGAATTGCCTATTCTTTTAAATACAGTGGGGCACTCTGTATATTTTGGGTTTCCCTTTCCAAAGATTGGTGAAACAGACACGGAAGTTGTACTCAATCCAGTGGAGTGCTTTTAATTTAGATTTATTTGAGGAAATACCGTACAGTGAAAAAATGCCCACAATTGCAAAAAATAATAATAATAATAAAAAATGATCTATGCACAGGAGATGAAACAATAGAATGTAAATTTGAAACTACATAAGCCTGGTGAAAATGTCAACTTAGTGCCCCATGATGAAAGAAAGTGCTAATGAAAAGATGTTGGGGAAGGACACAGGTGTTGAAAATTCAGAGCCCCCAGCTACCCAACGTGGCTTGCCCAGGAGTAGGGAGATAAGCATCTGGTCTGCTGGCCAGAAAAGATTCCATACCCAATCTTACATGATTTATCTGGGACCCTGTGTGATCTTCCTTGTTGAGATGTGCTGGTTGGGGGTTGGAGTTGGAAATTATGAGGTGCCCCTATTGTTTATGTTGAGGCTTACATAGACTCTCTTTGCCAATTGTAGAGGCCCTAAGATGCCCTTCAAACACTCTAGCCCTTCAGCAGATCCATTTTTAGTGCCGTGTCCGTCCATCCCCCCACACGGAGAGCACCCACAGTTGCCTATGTGGACAGCCGAGGCAGCCCTGGGTATACAATAGAGGGTTGCCAGTGTAGTGCCTGCAGGCCCCCATGTGCTCGCAAAGACTTTTCTAGATGCCTGCAGGATCCCTGCCTCACCCCCCCTCCTTCTGAAAATAGACATTCTGTTGTAGCCAGTTATGCTGTGGTGGGTGCCTGGTTGCAGTTTGTGTGTGGTGCCCATAACAGCTGCTCTGGTTTTCCGTTGTGCTCATGGGTCCAAAAAGTGAATGAATGAAATAGCTCAGTTTATTCTAGTTCCCTCACCCAAACTGCCTCCCAACCCCTATTTATCTCTTAGGCTATGTTGTGCTCAGAATTCTTGACACAAATTCTGTAGCCGTGCAAAAGGGTTTTAGCAAACTAGATAGGAAACTGTCAAAAGGAGAGGGGAGAAGGCAGATGTCCACTGGGATCCCCTGCAGGGCTTGAGTATGTGTACCTCTTGTCATCACAGCTGTTGTAATGTGCTGCTTATTGCAAATATTGCCGCTGAAGTTACGGGAAACGCTTTAATAAGTGGCTATTGATTGGCACTTTCCTAATTCTTGCAGTTCACAAATGCTGTTTTGTATATGCAAGCGGCTAACGAGCAATCAGATTCTCAGCAGCACAGAAATCCTCAAGTGGCTGCGAGAGATTTTGATCTGCAGGAACACGTTTCTTCTGAAAAACAAAGTAAGTGAGAACTTTGAAACTTGAAAAGCATTTCAAAAGGGGCTTGCAGCTTCTGACTTGCTCCAGCTCTTGGCTTATTGGATAGTTATTGGATGGGAAGGAAATTTGGCTAGCTTTCCCGCTCAGAAAGGGAAGTGAAATTGTGTTTTATTTTCTCCTTTCATAGACAAAGCCCCAGTAAATACATCTCTCTCTCCTGTGTATGTGTGTGCATGTCTGATTTCCTTTACCTCCTACAAAAGCAGAGTGACTTACTTATTTTCCCTCTCTTTCTCCCCATAGCAATCAGATAGGAGTTCCTGTCCCTTTCTCTTCCTTTATGGGGTAGGATGCGATGTCTCTGGGGGTGGAGCTAATCAAATTTCTCTTGACCATGAAGAGATGATGCGTTGTATCCCAGGAGCTACGCTTAGGAAAGGAAAAGGGAGCTTTTGCATGGTACGTGACCATAACGCAAGTGCTGCCATACAGAGCACTGCTGCTGCTGCTATTACTGCTACAGTAGTTAGAGGTGCTATTTCAGACCTTAGTCAATTCTGATACCACGCAGAGCAGCCACACAGAACCAAGACGTTCCTAGTTCTGTATCCCATCAGCTGCTGAAAGCTAGGAAGAACATGAAAACACATCGGTGATAGAATTAGGGTCACTTAGAAATGTACTTGCTGAAGCAAGAATAGCCAATGCTGTGCCCACTAGAGATACTGAACTACAGCAATGAACACCCATCATCTCTAACCACTGGCCATGCTGGCTGAGGCTAGTGAGAGTTGCAGTCCAAAACATCTGGAAGGCATTTCCTTGGCTGCCGCGTGCTTGAAACACCCTTCGTTGAACATCAAGGCCCCCGTTCCCATCAGCTGCAACCAGCTGCAACAGTCAGGGCGGGTGAGAGTTGCAGTCACAACAATGTCTGGAGGGCTGCAGGTTCCCCCCTACTGATCTAGATCAATAGAGAGCTATATTCATTTGTGCTCTGCAGCAGCGGCGTAGCGTGGGTTGTCAGCACCCGGGGCAAGGCAAGTAATTTGCGCCCCCTAACCCGTGGATTTGCGCCCCCTAACCCGTGGATTTCCCCTAACCCCAGATGTTGCGCCCGGTGCAGCCGGCCCCCCTGCACCCCCCACGCTACGCCACTGCTCTGCAGACGTCCTTTAAAACGCCATGGCTTGTCTTGACTGTGTTTGTGGAGAGCAGCAATGGTTAACGTGGCCCGTTGTCCTTTCTCCCAAGGAAAGCGCTGCAGGCTGCAGCGGGACGCCGATATGCCGTCAAGCGCAGACCAAATTGGAGGTGGCCCTGTATATGTCCCTCTGGAGCCCTGACACTGAGGCAGTGCTTGTCGCGATGTCCTGTTTCCGACATCTTTGCGAGGAAGCGGATATCAGATGTGGCGTGGACGAGGTGTCGGTTCACAACTTTTTGCCCAATTACAACACCTTTATGGAGTTTGCTTCCGTGAGCAACATGATGTCAACAGGTGAGAAGGGGGAGAGAAGGTCTCTTGTCAGTTGAGCTTGGGAAAATTGAACAAGAAAAGAGGAGGGTGGGGTGCACTTTTAGGTTGATGTTTCAAGCTGATAATTTTGCTTTAGAAATAATAAACAATTTAAAAATGATACAGTGGAACTTTGGTTTTCAAACGTAATCCTTTCTGGAAGGCTGTTGGACTCCCGAAATGTTCAAAAACCAAGGTGTGGCTTCTGATTGGCGCAGGCACCCTGGAAACAAAAGCCAACAGCAGCAACGGACGTTTGGCTTCCAAAAAACGTTTGAAAACCAGAACACTTAGTTCTGGGTTTTTGGCATTTGGGAGCCAATTTGTTTGTCAACTAAGCAGTTCAAGAGCCAAGGTTCCACTGTACATTAAATCCCATTAACCAAAAATGTCTCTGTGAAAACTAAAGGGCAATTGTTTGTTCAAAGGCAAGCATTAATGCAGATATGTCTTGTCAGTCTTTTTTGATTAAGGATGTTTATTGGTAGAGGAAACTTCCATAAAGTTTTCAACAAAGCAACCTTTTAAAAGTTGAAAATGTACTGAATTTCTGACCACATGCCTTTAGGAAGAGCAGCTCTCCAGAAAAGAGTGATGGCGTTGCTAAGGCGAATTGAACATCCGACGGCAGGTAACACTGAGGTACATTATTTCAGTTTTCTTGGGCGAAAGTATTCCTCCTTGGCAGCCGGATAACACTAGATAAGCACTTCCTAACAAATGTTTCCATGGCAGCATTAAATTAAGGTATCAGAAAACAGATTAAATAATAAATATATACACAGAAATATGAAAACAAACCTTAAAAACATCAGATTACATGAATTCAGTGCACATTGTATAATGGCCGAGTCACACTTCATGGAAGGCATTCTTTAAAATTTTATTATTGTTGTTGTTTTGTTTCGTTTTATTAAATTTATATATCACCCCTTCATCCGATTACAGAGAGCTGGGACCAGAACACTTACTTACTTACTTACTTACTTATTTATTTATTTATTTATTTATTTATTTAAGCACTTAATATCCTGCTTAATGCCATAGTCTCTAAGCTAGGTATGGTATGGTTAAAATGCTGCAATAAAGATAAAAATCAGTTTACCATAAAATCGTAAAACCTCCTTACTTAAAATGCCTGCTGGGGGAAAAGGTCTTCACCAAGTGTCATCTGGTATTTTCTAGAAGGTATTTAGAACAGTTTTTTTTCCTTTTGTTGTGTTCCAGGCTTGGGAAGCCACATATTTAAAATGGGAGACGGCTACAAATTTGATCCTCAACTTTCCGAAGGCTAAAATGGAAGATGGCCAGGTAAGGCCTTTCATAAATACCTTGCAGACCTTTTTTCCTCTGCTTCTCTTTAGCATCTAATGCACAGGAGTGGGGATCCTTTGGCCGCCTGGTTTTTGCTGAACTACTACTCCCATCAGCCCTAGCAGGCACGGCTACTGTCAGGGATGATGGGAGTTGTAGTTCAGCAGCATCTGGAGGGCCAGAGGTTCCCCATCCCTGGTCTAATGTGCTACCCTTCAGAGAATCTAGCTATATGGATGTTCTCATCTTGCTGGCCCATACAGCCAAGATCTATTGTCGTCTTCTTAATGCTCTTTCCTGGTTTGCTGACTTATAATGCTCAGGGAAAGCCAAGTAGTTGATTTTTTTTTCTTCAAACCCGTCCCTGGTTGCCACTTCCTCAGCCATAGCACATCTTGTGCTATCCACCAAGCCATCTTTTGAGAAAGAGGTGGCAGTTTGCTTTGGGAAACCCCAGTTTGCTTTGGGAAACTGCTTTTCAATAAAATTCCTAGATCAGTTTACAGGGAAAAACCGGAAACCAGAGAAGCTAATGTTACAGTAGCACAGCAGAAGCATCTAGAAGCAAATCCCATTTCTGATGGTGCCATTGTGGGTTGGATATTATCAGAAGTCTGGTTTCAAATTTCTGCTTGGGGATGAGCTGCTTTTGAAAGTGCAAGCAAGTCTGTTTGAGCCCCGGTTCCTTTCTGTAAATGGGGACTTATGATGTCCTGAGGTCGTTTTGGTGCAATTCCCAGAAAGCACCCTGCTCCGAAAGGAATATCCAAATAACAGGTGAACATTCTGAATTTGCATCACTGCATTTCTCTCTCTCCAACTCCCGCCATGATGTGCAACACTTTCCAGGTCGCGGAAAGCCTCCACAAGACCATCGTCAAGAGGCGAATGTCCCATGTCAGCGGGGGAGGCTCTATAGACCTTTCGGACACAGATTCTCTGCAGGAGTGGATCAACATGACCGGCTTCCTGTGCGCGTTGGGCGGGGTGTGCCTGCAGCAGCGCAGCAGCGCCGGGTTTGCGACCTACAGTCCGCCCATGGCCCCTGTGAACGAGCGCAAAGGCTCCATGATATCCATGCTGTCGACCGAGGGCAACACGGAGACCCCCGTGAGCAAGTTCATGGACCGTTTGCTGTCGCTCATGGTCTGCACCCACGAGAAAGTGGGCCTGCAGATACGGACCAACATTAAAGATCTCATGGGCCTGGAACTGAGCCCGGCGCTTTACCCCATGCTTTTCAACAAACTGAAGAACAACATCAGCAAGTTCTTTGACTCTCAAGGGCAGGTAAAGGGGTTTGCTTTAATGCAGAGATGGGTAGTATTTTGGGGGCTGCATTCCCCGGGGAAAGTGGTCAGGGGCTCTCTACCTACATACAGTGGAGGCTGCCAAGCCTACCCATTTCCTTCCTAACAGCCAGTCCAGAGGGTGGCCTTGGCTGTCCAGTTCCTCCTCCTCCATCCCAGTTTTGCCCTTATAGAACTCAGGAGGCTGGGGGCAAAACCAGAATTAGTTGGCTCTGCCTGCCATTGGCTCTGGCTCCACTCATTGGTTGGGCTTCCCGCCTTCTGCGCTGGCAATCCCAATGGGCACCAGCCAACACTGCCTACTTTGTGATGATCTGGAGCCAAATACAAAAGTGGGCAGTCAGATGAGGGCCACGTGTTGGTTTGTTTTTTACATTTCTGCCCTGCCCCTTTCTTCTGGGAAGTCTTGTGTAAATTAGCCAAAGTGGGAGGCCTCAAAGGTAGAGTGTAGAAGGGAAGTGATAGTTAGAAATGAGATTGGTGGAGAGGGACATCCTAGAGATGTCTGAAAGCGTCATCCGTGAGGAGCAGACACAGCTTCACACTTCTCTTTGAAGTCCAAGGCCCTGTCCCCAAATATCTTTCTGACATGCTGGAGTTGTCCTGCCTGGCAGTACAAGGAAATGTTCGACTGATGCTCCCCCCCTCCCCCTCTTGATATATATTCTATTCCATCCCTTGGGCTCCTAGCATTCCCCTCCTTCCATCCAATGTTAATAATCCTGCCCTAAGAATTTTATATTGGGACGTGGGTGGCGCTGTGGGTAAAAGCCTCAGTGCCTAGGGCTTGCCGATCGAAAGGTCGGCGGTTCGAATCCCCGCGGCGGGGTGCGCTCCCGTCGTTCGGTCCCAGCGCCTGCCAACCTAGCATTTCGAAAGCACTCTTAAGTGCAAGTAGATAAATAGGGACCGCTTACTAGCGGGAAGGTAAACGGCGTTTCCGTGTGCGGCTCTGGCTCGCCAGATGCGGCTTCGTCACGCTGGCCACGTGACCTGGAAGTGTCTCCGGACAGCGCTGGCCCCCGGCCTCTTGAGTGAGATGAGCGCACAACCCTAGAGTCTGGCAAGACTGGCCCGTACGGGCAGGGGTACCTTTACCTTTACCTTAAGAAGTTTATATTAAATGGAAATCATTTGATTTGTGAGGCGAAAGAGACCACATGGGAAAAAATGACAATGGCAACATAAAATCCATTATAAAAAAATCTAAAAATGTCCACCGCACCAAAACCAGCTGTTCCAAGAAGCTGTCCAAAGGGGGCAGCTTTTGGGGATAGTTTCATTTTTCAATGCCTGCTTTTTATGGAGGTGCTAGGGTTCAGAGTTCAGTTCAAGGTGTGATGGTAGCCTCTGCAACTCTGCCTAGGAGGCCAGTGGCGTAGGATACTTTGGTTCTTTAAGGAATTTAACGTGTGATGAGTGAGCGGTATATTGGCTACATACTTGCCTGACACTGGATGCAATCTCACCTGTTTTATTTGGCTAATCATCCAGGTTTCCCTGTGAGTATTTCAAGGGTTTTTGAACAAAGGGGGGGAATGTGTAAACAACTATTTATTTTTATCCTGCTTTTCAGACAACTATTGTCTCCAAAAAAATGACTCCAGGCAACAAAAACTAGAGACAGGCCCTGCAAACTTTAAAAGAGCAGACACAATAAAGGAAAGGGTGAGTGGAGGGAAAAGGTAGAGGAAAGGGGTCCCTTTGCAGTCCCAAGGCAACAGGTAGCTGTTGGAGGAGAGCATTTTTTTTCTGGCTGAGAGCTGGCAACCGAGCTCCCCACAGCTCCTCCTCCTTTGGGCAATGGGTGAGGCCAGGTGGGTCTCCCTTTCAACACAATCCTCTTTCTACCTGGAAGGCCCAAGCAGCCTCCCTGTTGGTCCTGCCCTCTGACCTTGGGCGGAAGCCAGAATGTGTGTTCCTTCCCAATAGCCCAATGGCTATTGTCAGTCGATTCCGGGGTGTTGGTTGAAGCAGGGAATTCCATAACCTAAATGAATACATTGGTGTGCAGCTAAAAGCAATTGGATATCTTGGTCTACTGGTTACTAGTTTCAATTGAACCCATTTATTAGAATTTAAAAAGTGTTAAATTCACCTGGCTTTTAAAAAAGTGAATACAGTATGTAAGAGATAAGTGAAGCCCCTAAAACACTTTTAGACTGGGGAGTTTATGCCCAGCTTACCCCTAAATTTCAGCCCAAACACTAGTTTGCATTTTTGCACCAACATAGCTGACGGGGGCGGGGGCGTTACTTGAGGGGGTTTCTATCCAGGCAGTGAGCTGACCCAGACCTGATTAGTTTCAGCACCCAATTTCCTATAATGGGTGGCTCCCAAATTTTGCAGCATTTTAGTGAGACTAGCCAAATGTCAGTAGCTCTGGGGTATTCACAGATGTTCACAGTGCCTATTATTAGCCCCTCCCAGCAATAGGTTTGCTTGCATTTCTGTACCACCATTCTGCCCATGCGCTCAAGGCCATGTTTTTATTTAGTACTTTTGTAGCGTGAAAAGATAAAAGAATACAACAGAATTTCCTTAGGCCGTTGGTAGTCCCAGAACCTTCTCCTTGCCTCCTGCCTTCCCCTTCAGGGCTTTTTAGCAGCCACTGGGAAGCTGTAGGAGGGATTTCCCCGGTTCAGTGCGGAATATGTCTTCTTTCAGAGGCAGCCAGAGGTAGCAAATTTGCGTGCCTGTTACTCATCGCAGATATAGAGGTCATTAAGCGAATAATTATACTCATGTCCCTTTCAGTCTATGAACTCAGCTTAGTTTAGCACCACTGGGTATTATAATTTTAGTCTAGGCTTATGAGTTTCGTTGGCATGCCGGCCAGAAAACTCAAACTACAGCACAGTTTGCTTCTGTTACAGGTCTTGTTGAATGACAGCAACACCCAGTTTGTGGAGCAGACCATTGCAATTATGAAGAACCTGCTTGATAATCATACAGAAGGGAGTTCAGAACACCTGGGACAAGCCAGCATTGAGACCATGATGCTGAACCTTGTCAGGCAAGTTGTTGTGGTTGTTAATACCACTGCAGTTACTCCTATATTATGTTACCAGCCCTTTACCCTAAGGTCCCAGAATGGCTTCCAACAATTGAAACACAACATAAATATTAAAATACAGTATTGCACAATATTTAAAGCAGTTTAAAACCACTTTAAAAAGTTAGCCTATTCTTACTAGTTGCCTACAGGAGATTGAAATGGTGAGGGGCAGGACTGGGACTCCTGTGAACCCCTCCTTCCCTCACTATTGGACTCCCACTTCCATCAGCTGCCTGCCAGCCAGCATGGCCAATGGATCAGGGATGATGGGAATTGTAGTCTAAAAACCTTTGGAGGACTACAGGTGGCCCACCCTGATGTACTGGTTCTTTGGACTCCTTTGGGAGGTTGTGGACTCTCTTTCCTTGGAGGTTTCTAAGCAGAGGTTGGATGGCCCTCTGTCATGGATGCTGCAGTTGAGATTCCTGCATTCCTCCCCCAGGCTGAATTCCTCACCTGACACCACCTAGTTCAGGTACCATTTTAAGTAAGTCTTGACTCTCTATTTCTTTTTTGTCATCGTGCTCTATGGCCTATATTTTTACTGTCGTCGTAAGATGGGTCACTCCCAGCATTTAATAGAGGCCTGTGTGTTTATCAGAAAAATACCTCTCAGGCTGTTGCTGTTGTTTTGACATGTATTTGCTTTGAAGGTGTCCACCAGATGCTCGAGTCCTTAGAAGGAGATTTAACCTAAACTCAAGCTTGGGCCTGTTTTTTCACAGATACGTGCGCGTCCTGGGGAATCTGGTCCACGCTATTCAGATAAAAACTAAACTCTGTCAGCTCGTGAAGGTAATGATGGAGAGGCGTGATGATCTTTCCTTCTGTCAAGAGATGAAATTCAGGTGAGGGTTGGTGTTGCCTAAGTGAAGAATACTGTGCTAATCTTCCTGTTTTTCTTGGAAATAGTTGATTGAGGTGGACTGTTTCTTGCCACAGTTATTATCCCTATACCTAGTTATGTCTGTGTCTATCTGTCTATCTGATGGCTATATATCAGGGGTCAGCAAACTTTTACAGCAGGGGGCCGGTCCACCGTCCCTCAGACCTTGTGGGGGGCTGGACTATATTTTTTGGGGGGATGAACGAATTCCTATGCCCCACAAATAACCCAGAGATGCATTTTAAATAAAAGGACACATTCTACTCATGTAAAAACACGCTGATTCCTGGACCGTCCGCGGGCCAGATTTAGAAGGCGATTAAGCTGGATCTGGCCCCCGGCCTTAGTTTGCCTACCGGTGCTATATATATTTAAAACCGAAATCAATGTGAGGTTGGCTCCAGGTTTGAGTGGGTCCTGGGCAAAATATTCTCTGATGGTTGGGCTTTCCTCTCCGTCAGCGGGCTTTGGCAGGATTACTTGGCTTTGGTGACGGAGATCCAGGTAGTGATGGTGATAGATACGCTTTGTAGGCTCCAGAGCAACACTAGGTCAGAGGCATTGTGGGAAATTGAAAGGATGACTAGATCCAACTGCCTACATAGCTCAAGGATGCCAGGTCAGGGGGGGAAATTAAGGCAGGGGTCAACAACCCGGTAACAGTGCTGACACTGATCCTGATAAAATCGCCATAGAATTACATTTTCATCTGAACACAAGACCATTCTCATCTATCATTTGTTGGATGGCCCTTTAGTAGCCACAATACAAGAATACCTTTGCTATTAGTGCCTGCAGCCGTTCTAGTTTCTGCCACTTGGACCAGTTTGCACAATCGCTCTAAAAGATATGAAGAATGCTTGAGCCTAAATCCTCCTGTGGTAAGAGTTAGCCTCTACACCTGTTTGTTACTCAGGTGAAGAACAACCACCTTTTGAATAAACCACAGAACCAAGGACACTATTTTCAAGTCCAGCATCCGGATTTAGAGAGTCAGCGTTTATTATAGCTATTGCAGTAGAGCAGCTCACTCAACTCTGTGCCAGTTGAGAAGGTCTACCCCGAGGAACTTCAAAACAAAAGCTTATATAGTAGCTCAAACACAGCAAACAAAGAGTCATAAGATGGGAACTGAGAGGTGTTCAGCTAGTGATGAAATGACAGATCTAGAGGTGGCCTTGGGTTGAGCTCTGTGTGTGTAGTGTTTGGTGGAAGGTATCTTTTTTTAGCATTTTAAAAATGCACTGCTATGTTTTTGCTTTAATTTAGTATAAATTTGTTTTTTGAATCTTCTGTAATATGCAATTTTAGGAACAAGATGGTGGAATATCTGACAGATTGGGTTATGGGAACATCCAACCAGGCAACAGATGAGGATGTGAAGTGTCTGACAAGGTGAGAGAGGCTTAAGATGCCACTTCAGAATTTCACAATGCTTATCTTTTGCAGAAACAGGACAACAGAGATTTCTCTTTGACGGGTGCTTTGTTAATAGCAAGTGGGAACTAGCTGCTGTATAGGAGTCCGTTTTCCACTCACTATAGGGTGGAAGAAAGAAAGAAAGAAAGAGCTGATCCAAGATCATAACACCTGCATATTGAATTACATGAGTGTTTGCATCACTTGGCCTAGGCTGTGGGTCCAGCCTTCCCATTTCTAGTGGCCTGTGTAAATTAGCAGAGGAGAAAACAAACACACACATTAGCAAGTATGCACTTGGGAGCCCCAGGTTCTTCCATACTGACCTCCTGGTGGTCCTGCCTCATTATGAGATAGTTGTGTGAGGAAAGGGTCTTTTCGGGTGATGGCTTCTCATAGACACAAGTCCCTGCCTACGGAGGTATGCCTGGCTGTGTCTCTGTAGTTTTAGGCCCTTGGTTAAGAAGCATCTTTTTCAGCGACTGTTCAGAGGAGAGGTCCGATTGCTACCGCTTCTGCTATTGGTAATTGTTACTCGGTGATTTATTATGTGTTTTCAAAGGATTGTGGTGTTTTTGCGTGTTCTTATCCATTTGCCTTGTAAACTGTCCTGTGGCTTGTGTCAAGGGCAGATTATGAAACATTTAAATAAAAAAAAACACCCACAGGCACAATGGGGAAGATGTGATCAGTTGTTTCTGTGTAGCACGGCAAAGGCCAGGAGCAAAGCTCTGGCCCATTTTCAGAATGTGTGAAGGGGGTTGCACATTCCCCATTCTAACGATGGTCTATTTCCTGCTTTGTTCAGAGATTTGGACCAAGCAAGCATGGAAGCTGTGGTGTCTCTTCTTGCGGGACTTCCATTACAGCCTGAAGAAGGAGATGGAGTTGAATTGATGGAAGCTAAATCCCAGTTGTTCCTTAAGTAAAGGCCCTTTACCTTATTTTATTTAGTACCCGGTTGACTAAAACAGCTAGAATTTTATTACCACTTGGGCATGCTGACACAGCAGCCTTGTGGAAGGGCAGCAGGTTTTAGTCTGTAGGACATACAAGCATAACTGAATCCTGAAAGGACAGAGCTGTTATGTGGTCCAACTTCTCAAATCCAGGAAGTAGGACATCAGACTGTTCTGGATGGTGTTGCACTCCAATGGGAGCACGTTCGTAGCTTGGGGGTTAATCCTAGATCCAACATTGTTGTAGATGGCCCAAGTGGCCTTGTTGGGTAGAAGTTCCTGTTTCCAGCTTTGGCTGGTTCACTGGCTACTCTTCAGTGATAACTATTTTCAGAGTGGCTTCCCAGTAAAACAATAAAATACATAGGAGGGAGGGCAGTTAAAACGACAACAGAAGGGCCAAATATAAGGTTAAAAGACTTGGGGAAACTACAGTGGGCTTTTCCTTGTTCCAGAAAGTGATGAGATTGGAGCCAGGTGAATTTCCTTGGGGACAGAGTTCTGCAAGTGGGGCATAGTGCCTAGACACATATCCTTTTGGGAAATGTTGGTTTTGTGTAGGAGAGATGGATTCCTCATATTAGAGGGCAGGGGGAACTGTTTCTCCAGAGAGATGCAAGCCACTGTGTCTCGCTTTTAGGTACTTTACCCTGTTTATGAACCTCCTCAATGACTGCAGCGAAGTGGAAGACGAAAGCGCGCAAACAGGCGGCAGAAAACGAGGGATGTCCCGAAGGCTGGCTTCGTTACGACACTGCACAGTCCTGGCCATGTCAAACTTGCTCAACGCAAACGTGGATAGTGGCCTTATGCACTCAATAGGTAAAACAGGGGAACGTCACCGTAGCTGTGTGAAGTGCAGCAAAATGCAGGGCTTCATCGTCTAAACGTTTCTGTTGTTGTCTGCTGGCAGGGTTGGGCTATCACAAAGATCTTCAGACAAGAGCAACGTTCATGGAGGTCCTCACCAAAATTTTGCAGCAGGGCACAGAGTTTGATACCCTGGCAGAAACTGTCTTGGCAGACCGGTTCGAGAGATTGGTGGAGTTGGTCACCATGATGGGTGACCAAGGAGAGCTGCCCATTGCTATGGCTTTGGCGAATGTAGTGCCTTGTTCACAGTGGGTAAGATGCTTTTGGTTATTCTTGAACGTTCTTTAGCATTGGTGAGTGCTGGGTGCAAGCAACTCAGCAGGTCGTGTGCAACCCTCAAGGCTTGTTTGTGGCCACTGATATGAAATGATTTGTTGCTGATTAAAATTACTTGCTTCTTTTCAGGCTGCACTGGAGATGCAAAATAATAGAATGAGATGCACACAGGGAATATTGTACAGTTTAAACTGGAGTTTATTGCCATCAGAGCTTCACAAGATGATTTAATGATAGAATATATTTCTATTTCTGAATGTAGGAAGCTGCCTTTCCCAAGTCAGACTGTTAGTCCTTCTAGCCTGGTAGCACCCACTCTGACTGGCAGCAGCTTTCCAGTGAGAGCTCTTTCCAAGCACTGTTTCCTTATATCCTTTTTAATTGGAGATGGGAACCCACCATCCTGACCTGGCATTGTTCTTGTTTTCCACATAGAGAATAATATTTAGGACTGGGTTTTATGTGTTTTGTTTTTGAAAGGATGAACTGGCTCGTGTCCTGGTCACCCTCTTTGACTCCAGACACTTGCTCTACCAGCTGCTTTGGAACATGTTTTCTAAAGAGGTTGAGCTGGCAGACTCGATGCAGACGCTCTTCAGGGGAAACAGTCTGGCTAGCAAAATAATGACGTTCTGTTTTAAGGTACGTTTGATCTTAATAAATTCAAAAGAGGCACAGAGAGAGAGAGAGATGGGGCGGAAGGCTCACCCAGAACACGAAATCAGATGGATTCAAAAGATTTTCGGCGTCTAGGTGCACCATTGCAGTTGTGCTGTTGTCAGATTAAAATCACTTCAGTGCAGACTGTGTCTTAAATTCCATAGCTGTAATCCAGCAAAGTGGTTACTTGGTTAATTCATTTTTAAAGCCATCAACTCTAAAACGTGGGATTAGTTTAAACCGTGTCCTGATTTTACTAGGGCAGCACATTTAACTTTTTTTAAAGAAACAAATAAGTGCATATTCCAAGCAGGCTACAGCATTGTGGCATAAACCTTTATGAGCTAGAGTCCACTTCATTAGATGCATGAAGTGTGATCCTTAGTTGGCAGAGAGCTGTCAGTGGTGTGGAGCTAGGCAAAATACAAAGCAAAATATTGCAGTGCCTGAACATGATGGAGATGTCATTTTCATTGACTCTCTGAAGCCTTACTGACTTCTTAAAGCAGCGACAGCACAAAAAGGCACAGCGCTCCTCTTTTTTTTTTTTTTTTTGCACAAATTTGAAATCGCCAACCGGATTATTCTCTCTCTTGCAGGTTTATGGGGCAACCTACCTCCAGAAGCTTTTGGAGCCTTTATTAAGGGCAGTAATTACATCAAATGAATGGCAGCACGTCAGCTTTGAGGTGGACCCTACAAGGTTTGAATCCGGGTGGGTGGGAAGGAAGCACAGGGAGGAGGAGGAAGTCTGCAATATTCTGCCTGCTTTCCCCCTAACACACTGCAGCCCAGCCACCCTCCACCGGCAAGCCCCGTTGCTTGAGGCCCTGATCCCAACTCTAAGCAGGGAATGCAGGGTGCAGGAGAGTGGCCCTGAGCGATGCTTCACATTCAGCAACACCTGGAGGGAAAAGGTTCCCCACAGCTGCCTCGTACCAAAGGCAGACAGTGTGATAGCCTCCAAGGTGTTGTTGGACTGCAACTCCCACCAGCCCCCACTAGCGTGGATAATGGGAATTGTAGCCTAGCAATAGCTGGCAGACACCATGTTGGCTGCCCCTGCCTTATAGGGAGAGGTTGAGAGTCACAGCTGGCATATTGTAGTCACAGCGCCCATTCTGGTTTCCCTTTGGGTAGATTTGGAGCTCTCTGGATGCTTTTCCCTGCTTCCGGATCAGCAGGGAACACCGTCAACTCTCTTGCTCCCATCTCTCGTCTCATTAATCTATCATAACCTGCCTTCAAGTTACAAATCTGAATCCTCAGATAACGGCCAGCTGTGCATGACTGATACGACATTACCGTTGTTCAGGGCTCGTTTATTTTATTTGTGTTCTGCTTTTTAGCTTGGCTGCCATAGCAGATTACAATTAAAATCTGGTGCAGTAGAAGTAGGGATATGTTGCTCTCTGTGTGTTATGAAGACCAAGCTCCAGGCTTTTCACTGCAGACAGGAGGGGGCAGAAATCTGCAGATGGTCTCAGACTAAAGCTGGCTGATGCTAAGGAGGCCAGCCCACAAAAGCAGCCCTTTCTGCATTTTGATGCCATCCAGATGCCAGGCTTGGGGGATAAACTTACAGACCAGTCCCATCTGCTGCTTGGAAGCTCTCCGGCATTGTAGCTAGCGATAGGCAGAAGGAAACAAAGCCGTAGTTTGTGCTGGAGAAATCATAGAATTGCAGAGTTGGAAGGCACCCAGAGGACCATCTAGTCCAACCCGCCTGCACTGCAGGAATATGCAACTGTCCCATACGGGCATCGAACCTGCAGCCTTGGTGTTAGCAGCACCAATAAAGTTAGGGAGCCTGGCAAAGCCTTGACAGGCCTGTCTTACAGGTTGGAATCCGCCGAAAGCCTTGACGATAACCAGCGGAGCCTTCTCCAGATGACAGAGAAATTCTTCCATGCCATTATCAACTCCTCTGCAGAGTTTCCACCTCAGCTTCGAAGCGTGTGCCACTGTCTCTATCAGGTATGCCTGAATCTGGCAACGCTAGGTTGTACATTTCGTTGGACAGTGTTGGGAGAAGGGTGGAGAGGCTGTGCCCCTCCAGACGTTGTTGGACTACAACTCCCATCATCGCTGACTGCCATCATGCTGGATAGGGCTGATGGGAGTTGGGAGTCCAGCCACTTCTGGAGAAGCACTACTTCCCCCTATCTGTGCCATGAAGGTGAGGGTCCCTTCTGTTGCAGCTGCATTAGGCCTGTTGCCTGGGGAAAAGTTAAAGAGGCATTCTCGGTGGTTGAAGGAAGCCTCCTTATAGAAGAAAATGGGCAACTGGCTCAGAGAGATGTGAGCCACTCTCTCTCCTCCTCCAATTCTTTGTCTGTCTGTCTGATCAATGCAATGCTGTGTGGTCTGTGTTTCTTCCCCAGGTTATTGACTGACAGGGCTGAGGGCTGATGGGCTCCCTGGCCTTGATTCAACAAGAAAGAGCCTTTTAAACCATTTCAGATCACCCTCCAAGGGCACTGCTGCTGATTTATTTATTTTTGAACTCTTGCTTTCGTTGTGTTTGCTTCTGCGGAACTAGGGAAATTCATGCACAATAAAGTACACCTTGGTTGTTACCGGGGCCAACCTTTTGCCTTTGCTGAGGTTTTGATGCATCACCTACTGTTGCAGTGATTTACAGAGTTCCACCTGTGTGCTGTTATATGCACTGTGCAGGGCACATGAGTTGTGTCCGCTGTCTGTACTTGAAAGGCTAGTTATATGCTTGAGAGATGAGCTTGCACATTGATGAGAATCTCTTTATTCTCCTGGGACTGCCCATTTGAGAATGCAGATGGGTGTGTGTGTGTGTGTGTGTGTGTGTGTGTCATCCTCTACATGAAAAGCTTCTTGCACGTCTAAAAGCAGTAGTTCAAGGAAAAAACAGGTAGACTACAATGGCCCTGGTAGACTACAGTGGCCCTGGTAATAAACTCTAAACTTTTTTAGTAGCTTGCAAATATAAAAAATATATAAATACTTGCCTGCTAAGTTGCATCCAGTGCTAGTCCTATATCCATTGAAATAAATGGATGCTAACTTAGGCACATTTATTTCAATCGGTCTCCTCCGAGTAGGAACTAGATGGATACAGACCTCTTTTACTATGCTGGCTGAAATGCTAGACGCTAGGCAGGGTGGTTAAAAAATGTTCTTTTACCAAACAATGTGATAGAGGAGAGAGAGAGAGAGAGAGCTTTCCATCTTCTATGACCAGTGTAGAAACCAAGAAAACTGGCAGAGGAGAAATGAAGGGATCCCATCTCTTCTCTGCCAGCTCATACACTCACCTGCATGGAACTCCTGGTTACCTAGAGCGAGCAGGTGAGTTGTTCAATGCAAGGAGGGTTTAGGTTTGTCCCCCCCCCCCCCCGGGATGGTGAATTTAGTTGTGCATTCTGAAGCAGTCCTGTTTCAGGCAGCATCACACAATATTTCTGAACTGGGTGGAGCCCTGGCAAAGAGGAAGGAAGAGAAGCAGGCTTGATAAAGGAGTAAATCTGGCTTTTGCACTGAGTGGACAGGGAGCCTTTTTCTGGGGACCTGTGCCAGTGGTGGGTGGGGCCAGAGGCAAAAGTGGGTGGAGCAGGAGGTGGTGGCTCTTGCCTTTTGCACAGTAGCCTGCATTCTAGCTATGAGCAAGCAAGAAGCATTGTCATCATAGTTCAAGGTCACACTTGAGGGTGTGGGGCAAGGCTGGTGAGGGAGGGCATGTGTGGCCTAGGGAGAGTCCCAAGCGCCTGAAGGGATGCATTCAGTCCCTGGGCCTGGTGTTCCTCACTCCTGCAAGCAGCTGTTGAGTTTCTGCATAGGAGAGATGGCAGGAAGGGTCATAAAAGAAGATGGAGGTCCGTCTGAAGCAACGTAGTCCTTTCTGCTTTGCTGGGCAGGAATAATCGGTTTGCCTCCAAACATCTTCCTCTCTTACCATCTGTTCTCTTTCCCCAAAGCTTTGCAGTATCAGCAATATTAGTTAACTTGCTCCTCTTCCTGTCCAACTGAGAAGCCAATTCTGTAGGGACAGCAATGAAATGAGATTGATGTTTGTATCCCTGTTCTTTACATTAAAGCTGCTCAGGAGGAATGAAGCTCCTTTTAGAGAAGGATCATGGTGAAATCCTTCCCGAGAGCTTTCCCTCTGGAAATGACAACTAACTGAGTGGGGAAATAGGTGTGACTGCTTCTCACTGTCACTCAGCATGAAATTCCCAGGGTTAGGGAAGAGCGTTCTGTGATTATGTCCACACCTCTCGTTTACTGGAGACGTGTCACATGTGGGCCTTGCAAAGTAACGGAAGGGAACTTGGACCAAATGCCCTTGCTTGCTAGTCTCATTCTTTGGGTATAGAACGTAGGTGCTCTCCTTTGCCAAGTAAAAACCGGTTCTGTCCAGCCCCCAATAGAAAGTGTACAGGACAATAGCTGAGTCTGCAGCTTCTGTTTCAGATGCAGACCTGCAGCCAAATCTATGAGCGTGCAATGAATTTTGTTAATGGAGTTTATGGTGTAGTGACTGTAAAGTTCGAGACGCTATGGAAAGTATTAAGCATTCAAGGTTACTTCTCCATTGGGGAGAGGCTGTTAGAGAATTGCTGTGAAGATGATTCAGTTTCTCCCTTATTTAATGGATCGATTATCTACTTACTTACATCCTCACGAGGCATAAACAATATTTTCCCTAAAGGTTGCGTTGTGGGATGTGTGGTACCTGGTGTTGTAAATAACTTTATCGGTAGTGACTGAGCACATTCTGAATCAGTTCATACTGAGGTTTGGGCCTGGCTTGTGTTAAATTTGCTGCCAGCCTTCCCCGCCAGTTGTTCTCTTCCCCTCCCCCCAGAAAACTTGCTCTTGTGTAAAGGGGGAGCTGATAATGTGGGGGGTTGACCAGAGACCCAAAGAGGCCTCTAGGCATCGTCTTTAAAACCTAGATGCTGCTGAGCGTGCACTAAAGCATCATTTTCTTCCGGGGGGAAGGGGATTTGCAGTTTCCTCTGCCTAACTGATGGAATTGGAGGCATCCTAGGCAGGAAATTATGCTCCAGCTCATGATTGGGAGGATCCAAGCCATCAGGGTGAGGCCCATAGGCTTCTCTTCCCAGCCACTCATCCCCCTACGTTTCTCCCAAGTGTACGCATGCATGGAAATAGGGGAGAACTGCCAAAGCGAGGGCCAAGAGCAAGCTCCTCAAATGACTCTGTTAACTGGGCTGCATTTGCTATTCTAGATGAAAAGCAGTGAAGATCTGTGTGTCGGTTTTAAGGCAAGGACGTGCATTACCCTGAGGCCGGGTTTCCTCTCCACCCCACCCCACCCCACCCTCTGCCCCAGATATGCCATCTGCTTGACCCAGTGGTGGCCAGACTTGGCCCTCCAGCTGTTTTGGGACTACAGTTCCCATCATCCCAGACTACTGGTCCTGTTAGCTAGGGATGATGGGACTTGTAGTCCAAAAACAGCTGGAGGGCCAAGTTTGGCCATCACTGGTTTACCCTTACAAGTTGTTCCTGCCCCATTCTTCTTGGATAGGAGGAACCCCTGATGCAACTTCCTCTGACAACTCAGTGCTGCATGTGTGTGGGGAGAGGCTTCCTTAATTACAGCCGATTCCTACCAGAAGCTGGTTGGGCTTCTGATCTCACTGGGTGGCTGCTAACTTGAAACATGTATGTTCCAACCTCTGGTGGGAGAAAACAGATTGTTTCTTGTGGCCGGCTTGGCACTTTGTCTCAATAGGCTTGCCAGTCCATTGCAGGAGTCCTGGATCCCAAGTTCTGAGAAGGGAAGGGGAACACAATTGTTCCCTTATCTCTGGAGTTGGGGAGCGTGTATATACACCCACACCGCTTATTTTTTTTTAAAAAAAATCTCTAAATGTACACAAATCATTGTCAATGTATGCAAATAGAAGCATTTTTTTAAACAACAAAAGCTACCTAACTAAATTACATGCAACCTGTATTTTTATATTATATTGGAAGATGCCCAGAGTGGGTGGGGTGACCCAGTCAGATGGGCATGGTATAAGTAATTAATTATTATTCTAGTAATGCATAGGTTTGCTTATCTCCCTCCCTCCCCCCCATGTGAATAAGAGACCAATTATCCCAGTGACCCAGACCTTCCAGACCAATTTTGTCATGAGGGACTAGTAAATACCTCGAAAATACTTTGCTTGGTTTCTAAAAGGGCAGAGAGTTTAATCATTAATGTTTCATTTGCTTTGCCTGCTAGGCAGCAGGTGCACCATGTCACAGAGCCATGTGTGGGGTAAAGATAGAATGAATTATACAGCTGCAGTTCTTGGGGTAACGGGTGTCCTGGAATATCCTGCAAGCATTGCTGGATAAGGGTGTTTAGCCTGTGCCCAATGCATGAGTGGATTGTGAGAAGCTGACCTGCCATAGTTGCCAAATATTTACTCAGCTGAAGCAGATGCACATATTTCTTCTAAAGCCTGAACTGGTCAAATAAGGTTGCGAAGTTTCCCTCTGTGCATTGCAAAAGGTTTTGTGTGGGTAGCGGGGAGAAAAGAAGCACTACTTCAATCCTTTGCAAGAATGGGGACCTGAATATTTTTATCTTTGGTGTCATATTCTACATGGTATACTTAAAAAAAAAAAGTTCATATATGGGCTTGGTGTTGATTTTTTAAAAAAACCATTTACAAGTTCTGGTACAATGCTGATTATGCATCTAACTTCGGGACTGGGAAGAATTGATTTGGACCCTCTCAAAGCATATATTCTGGACAATACATGCAATAACACACAACAGATTAGCAAATAAATACTCTTTAAAAATTCTCAACCTAGCCAGAAATAGTAGAAATGATTGGAACCCGACATTTGCTTGCTTTCGTATTTGTGGACAAATTGTGGTCACCCACATGAAACACAAACTCCATCCAACATGAGTGTGTAATTTCATTTTCTGTTCTGTTTTTGTTACATTTGATCGTGTAATTTTGTGTACCGGTGGACATTGGGGGTTTCTTTTGTTGCTGTGTATGTGGTTGGTGCTGTGACTTGTTTGTGCTCATCTCTGTTCTGTAGGCAACTTGCCACTCTCTCCTGAATAAAGCTACCGTAAAAGAAAAAAAGGAAAACAAAAAATCAGTAAGTTTTGGAGAAGTTTTATTAGCCATTTCTTTCAAAGCACACAGAACACCCCTTTTCTTGATTTCTGTTATTTTGCTCTCTCTGTTCCAAAAGCTCTCCACTTTCAAGCCTCTACTTGACTTTCATTGTAAAAATCATTCTACTAATTCTGGCACCAAAGAGCTTTCATTTCAATTAACACTGGACTTTGAAGTCACATCTGTTGTTGTTTTTTTACGAAAAAAAAAAAAATAAATCTTGAATGTGCCTCTTTCAATTTCGGAAGGGAACCTCTGCAGCTCTGCACCATCATTCTGATGAACCTCTCTTTGTCGTCACTTGCAATGCTAAATAAGAAGGGGAAAGTCAGAAAATAAGGGCGAGGCATATGTGTGCACTGGTATTTGCAGGGACCTCCAGGAAAAAAAAGAAGGCATTCCTCAAGAGAAGTAGGTGGACCTTTCTGATGAGAACTGGAAGCAACACCAGTTGGTAGGTAGCATTAAAGTATGAGCAACAGCAAGCAAGGAAGTAGATGTGGATTGCAAGATGCATGAGGCTCTTCATTCAATTACTATATGCATGGTGGGCTGAGTTAAGTGTATGCCCTTGGCAACCCTCTTTTTATGAAAACAACTTCCAAAACTGGCCGGGATGGGGAAAATGCCCCAATAACATACTCTAAATATTTCAGCTGTTCACCTATACCAGGTTAGGGTGGAGTAAAATACGTGTACACAAATGGATTGGCCTTACTTTCTAACTTTCCCTCCAAAGTGTGAAAGAGAAGTGAACCCGGGAACCTTAACGAAAGGTGCTGGGTGTCCTTTGTGTCGAACTTTCCAAAAGTGTTTCCTAACCAAAATGCTACTATGGGGGTGGGGGTGGGCACACGGATAGCGGGTTCAGTATTTTATCTACTTTGCTCATGTTTTTGTTTTTAACACACGAGACTTTCCTGATGCTTAATGACATTTGGCCTTTTGCCTACCTTGCAGAGGACAAACCTCTTCGGGTGACCTTCTGTTCAGTTAGAACTTCTTCCTTTTTTTTAAAAAAAAAAAGGGTGGTGTTGACTGGTCCACAAGATGGGAGCAGACTGTTTACTTCCACTTGCTATGAGGGTGGAAGTTGAATTTGTGTTTTCCTCCATGGATGTGCTTCTTCTCTTCTAATCTTGCCCGCTGCACAATGACAGAACCTCAGAGCTCTTACTCCAATTGGATTTCTGTGGGGGGGGTTTCCTGGGTGCTCCTGCCCGTCTCAAAGATGAAATGGGCACTGGCCCAACTCTCTCGGCCTGTTCTGACATGTTCTGTGGCTGCAGCCATGCACACAACTTGCTCGAAGACACCTGCCATGTCTTGAGGCATTGTTCCCTCTGCAACCACCCTTCTCATAAACCACTAATTCAAGTGCCACTCCAGGAGACTATCTATATAAAATGCTGGATTGGCAGTCTGGTACATGTGGGATTTGGGACCCAGCAGCTACCATCTGCAAGTTGCTAATATGAACAGCTTTTGGAAAAATACCCAGTTCTTAGAAACCAGTATCCATTTTAAGGATCTCGTGCCAGTTCTTTTGTCCTTCCCTTTAAAGAACAACACAGTGTTCTGAGTTAAATTAGTCATTGAAATTCCAAGTGTCCTGCAATTGTTAATGTCTAGTGTTGTATAGCCAATTTATCTTGGCTTTGCTTGTTCTACGAATTGGCATGAATTGGCCTATGTGTGTGTTCAGTAGCTTTGCTGAACCTCAGCAGTTCTGGGCCTTGCCAGTGCCTCAGTGGGAGACTGGGCAACACTCAGGTATTCCTCCTTGAGTCTCATCGTAGGAGGAAAGCGGGATATGTATGGATATTAATGTGTTTGTTATTATTATGCGCTGGGAAATTGTGATTGCAGCTGGCTTGTCCTGCTCACCTTCCCTCTTGAGTTTGCCTAATGTCCTTGTGTTGGATGGCAGATTTGGGGTTTCACACCCAAGATCCTTTGCAGATGGGCATTGTCTGTGTGCGCATATGGGCCAGCATGATTCTGAACCTCCTCGCCACCCACCCCAGGACAAGTTACCTAGAAATCAGTATTGTGAACTGTGATCCAATCTTTGGCGAGCTCCAAGAGGTCGTACTCATTCACGCTCCAGCAAATTGTGGTTTGTTAGAGTAGCCCTGTTACATTTAAACTGGGCCAGAACGTTGAAAGATTACTGGCAGAAAAGCATATGAACAATTTAATTCTGGACTCCCCCCCCCCCTTTAGAGGAAATAATCAGTGTTCTGCATGTTGCCCCCAGAGTTAATATTGCAAACACTCCATTACTTTCTCACATGCAACATACACAGGAGTGCTTTTTGCAATTTCTTGGCAGAGACTGGTCCAGTTCACACGATACGTTAAGCTGTGGTTTAAAACAAACCAGGGTTTATTGTGAATGCGTGCTGCTCTGGTGCACATGCTTTGTTTCCGGCCCCCACCTCCCAAGCAGTCCCCAAGTGGCAACCTCATGATTTGTTTGCATAGAGACAAACAGGAACCTGGGTTCAGACAGCCCAGTAAACTTGTTCATCCAGTGGTGTGGCAGGAGAGGCAGAGGAGTACTGTGGGAACTTCAGAGCAATGTTAAAACAATGGTTTAATGCAGTGTTCCCCAAACTTGGGTCTCCACCTGTTTTTGGACTACAGTTCCCATCATCCCTGACCACTGGTCCAGCTAACTAGCGATGGTGGGAGTTGTAGTCCAAAAACAGCTGGAGACCCTAGTTTGGGAAACACTGGTTTAATGTGACACGTGAATCAGGAATTTAATGAATGGGCTATTTCTATTCATGACTTTTATTTATATATTATTACATTTATATACCACCATTCCGCTAAAGAGCTTAAGGTGGTATGCATACTCCTGCCCCACTCTTTTTTATCCTCATGGGAGCCTAATGAGGGAGGTTAGGCTGAGAGGTGACTGGGCGCAGGTCACGCAGTGAGTTTCTTGGCTAAGTGGGAATTGGGCCCCTTTTCTTCCTGGTCCTAGTCAGGCTTTCTAACCGCTACACCTTGTTGACTTCCCTGTTTTGTTGAGAGTTCCCTGCTGATGGGTGTACTGAAGCAAAACTTTTCTTTTTCTTTTTGGTTTTTTTTTTAGTTTGATAAATGAGCATTTTGGTTTCATTGGCAAAGTTGTCATTCCACACCTCAAGGTTTGTGCATAAACTTTTCAGGTACAAAGAAACTCTTGCCTTCCTTTTAAATTAGCATACTGCAAAATGGCTTTTTAGTTTTTGGCCTTGCTCATATGGATTTGCTCATACATGGGCTTCACCACAAGACAGAATGTGAATATGTTTGTGTGAGAGAGAGCAGGGCGGGGGGAATCATGCTGTAAAATTGTGCCTTGTCTGTACTATTATCAGTAACTCTTTTCTTCTTCCTTAACATCTAATAATGATCTGACCTGTTTAACGAGAGAGGTCCAGTTTGGCACCCTATTCTGTTTATCCTGTACAGTAACACATGTGGAAGGTTTGGCAACGAATAGGGAGCTGAAAAGGCCTCTCATTTTTCTTTTCCGTACTCATTCCGGCCCTTCATTTAAGTTTTGTCCTTATCAAACTCCCAACTTGTGCTATTTAGGTTGTCAGCCAGCGGTTCCCTCAGAACAGCATTGGAGCCGTTGGGAGTGCCATGTTCCTGAGGTTCATCAACCCTGCCATCGTCTCGCCATATGAGGCTGGGATATTGGATAAGAAGCCGCCGCCAAGAATCGAAAGGGGCTTGAAGTTAATGTCAAAGGTAAAGAACTGCAATTCTTGCATGTGTGGGGTTTTTGGGGTCTTTGAGTGAGGTGCAGAGTGAAACAGTAGGCAAATTATTGTTGTGAGGGGTTTGAAATGGAGCTAAGGCGCACGTGGAAAGCTTTGGCCCTCTGCTTAATTTTGTGTGGCCCTTTGCATGACTCCCAAACCCCTCTGCAAGTTCAGACCTCTGGCGAGAGTGACGCGTCCCTCTCCTGGAAGCCTGATCCACCCATCACTGGCTTCAGCACTGCCCACTGCCAGTATACAGCACATTACCCTGGCAGGACTGTGGTGTTCCATAGGAATAAAGGTTTGCCTGCCCCAGATTGAGTTTTCGTTTGTTTGTTTGTTTGTTTGGTGGGTGGGGGGAGCGTTCAAAAAACGTCACCCCTTCTTACAGCCTGCTAGTATAGCATATGTTGTTCATTTATGTAAAGCATTTGTGATCTGCTTTTGGAGAACCATGCTCCACAAAGTGGCCCTTTTTGTCCTCTGGACTAGACCAGAGCATGCCTGCAAATGTTCAGTCGTCTTGGATTAAAACGAATCCCTTGTATGCAGAAATAACGTCTAGAAGAGAACGCTTGCCACGGCACAGCTTGCCACGGCACGATTGGTTGCTTCACCAGTTCTTTTTATTAACCTAGGTACTGCAGAGCATTGCCAACCACGTCTTGTTTACAAAGGAGGAGCACATGCGGCCTTTTAATGACTTTGTGAAGAGCAACTTTGATGCAGCACGAAGGTAAAGTAGTTGCAATGCTTAGTTTAAAAGAGAGCTTTGCCCTTATAAGTCTGTAAGGGCCAAGAGGGGTCGGATCTGCAGGCTCTGTTAGTTGGAAAGGCCAGAGGCAAATAGTGTGGTCCGGAGCAAGCAAGCAAGCATGCATGCATAAATTAATAAATTAATATATATATTTATTTATTTGTATCCCACCCTCCCTGGCCAAAGCCAGGCTCAGAGCAGCTAACATCATGTAAATAAGACAATATGTATAATAATACAGTATACAATATGCAAATAAAATAACATTCAACATTCATTAAAATAATATAAAGGTAAAGGTACCCCTGCCCGTACGGGCCAGTCTTGACAGACTCTAGGGTTGTGCGCCCATCTCACTCAAGAGGCCGGGGGCCAGCGCTGTCTGGAGACACTTCCGGGTCACGTGGCCAGCGTGACATTGCTGCTCTGGCGAGCCAGAGCCGCACACGGAAACGCCGTTTACCTTCCCGCTAGTAAGCGGTCCCTATTTATCTACTTGCACCCGGGGGTGCTTTCGAACTGCTAGGTTGGCAGGCGCTGGGACTGAGCAGCGGGAGCGCACCCCGCCGCGGGGATTCGAACCGCCGACCTTTCAATCGGCAAGCCCTAGGCGCTGAGGCTTTTACCCACAGCGCCACCCGCGTCCCTTTAAAATAATATAGAATAACGAAGCTGGACCTCCAGTCTCTGCTTATCATTTTGTATTGTGCACTGTGACTTGCTGTTGTTTTATTGGAGTTTAGAAATCACTTATTGTAACTGTTCACAGTGGATTTCTGTTTAATCTTGAAATGCTGATATTTAATAAAATAATATAGAATAATATTAAATATCAGCATTTCAAGATTAAACAGAAATCCACTGTGAACAGTTACAATAAGTGATTTCTAAACTCCAATAAAACAACAGCAAGTCACAGTGCACAATACAAAACGAGAAGCAGAGACTGGAGGCACAGCTTCCTTATGAGGGCCGGGGGGTGGGGCAAGGAAGGTGGAAAGAGGCCTTGCCTGTCTCTCCAGCATGGGCTGGGTTTCCAGAGGGTGCAGTCAAACAGGCCAGAGGCTGGCAAATGGCTAAATCCAAGTATGGCAACCGTTAAGTCCCAAGGACCAGAGACAGGAGAAGTGATCCAGCATAGGCAGATCAGGCAGGCGCAGACCATGCATGGAACTGGTCCACAAAGTCTTTCAGCTTTAAGGGGATTGGACTAATTCATGGAAGAGGATAGCCATGATATCTGGGCTTACTCAGTTCAGAGGCAGTGCTCCCCTGAGTACAAGATGCTGGGAAGCAGCGAGGTGGAGTGGGTGGCTCTCACCTTCTTGCCGTACTCGTGGGCTTCCTGGAGGCATCTGGTTGTCCACTGGGTGAAACAGGATGCTGGGCTGGTCAGATCTTTGTGGTTCCAGCACAGCTGCTCTTTTTCTTTCTTTCTAAAAATACATTGGGGGTGGGAAGTGCGGGATGGTTAGCTCATATCACGTTTGCCTTTACTCTCGTGGCAAAACAGATCTCCCAGAAATAAAAGAGGCAGAAATGTGCAGAGATCAATGTCAGCGTTGCATACATTGTGGATTCCAAGAATATTCCTTTTGCTGTTATGCAGCTCCTGGTCATGGTGTGTGCTGTGCTGCACCGGACAAGGGCCAGGAAAGTCTGGAAGCTCCTTATGCCCTCCATTAGGTTTTCTGTCAGAGTGTATATGACTGCCAAGACTGATCGTTTTAACTGTAGCACTGTAGCCACATTATCCCTAGCAACAAGCATACTTTCCCTGGAGAAATTTAGGTGTACCTGCTGGTAATTTTAATAATTTTGCTGTGAACACCGTACTATTCAACCACAATGTGTGTTCCTTGAAAAGCAAACCCAATACCCCATTGGTTGTAGGGAGAAGCTGTGAGATCCTTGCTAAAGAGAGCAACGGCTTTCCTTTCTCTGTAGGTTTTTCCTTGACATTGCATCAGATTGTCCAGCCAGCGACACAGTCAATCACAGCCTCTCTTTCATCAGCGATTGCAACGTCCTTGCTTTGCACCGGCTCCTCTGGAACAATCAGGAGAAGATTGGCCAGTACCTTTCCAGCAACAGGTAGAAGTAGCTTGACCAATGGCGAAGAGTCGTTGGCTTTGTCAGAGTTGAAGGAGAAAGCGAGGAACATACTGTAGGGCAGCAGTTGCCATCTTTCGGGGGCTAGTAGGCATGTCTTGAATTTTGAGAATGTGCTGGGGGTGCTAGTCACAAAGCAGCTGCCATGGAGTGTGTGGCATAACACATCATGGCTACTTATGAGCTTTGCATGACACAACATTAGAGAAAGAGAGAGCCACCCCTGACTACTTTGTGTACCGTGACAAGTCAGCTATAGCCTCCTAGTCCTGGTGATGTTGCTATCTAATAGCAACAGGGAGTATTACCTGGGAAAACAAACCACTCACTCTTCATAGAAATCACTTAGAAGGTACCTGTATATTTTGGCCCATCATGTTATTTCTAGGACGGCTAGAAACTTAATTCTTTTCTTAAATGAAAGCTGAGAGTCTGGGGTACCTGCACAGGGGCATTCAGGAAAACCTCCCCAAGTGCTGGATTGGTGACCCTCTACCCTGATGACTGCTGTGGGTGATTTTGCTTTTTAGTAGTATGGATGCTGGGATAGTCAGGGTTGTAAGTTCTATTCAAAGTGCACCCATTGAAATGAATCAGCCTGTGTTAGTCTTGTCCTTTAATTTTGGTGGATCTGCTCTGAGCATGACTACCATTGGATACAGCTTAAAGTCTGTCTCATTATAGCATCTAGTGCTGCGGCACAGAGCAAGCCAAGCACAGATAGGATGGGTGGAGCCTGGGTTGTAGGAGGAATTGCAGTGATAATCGGGAACAGAAATCTGAACATGGGATGGGACTCATCTGTTTACACACTTTATTAAACCTTGGAGAGTGGGAGGAGGGTTGGCGTTGGAAGCCAGTGATGCTTGCAGAAAGCAACCTGGGTTCTGTCGTGTATTTTGTCTGCGTAAATAACGCAGGGTATTTTCCACACTAAATGTTTGTCTGATTTCCTTACTAATGCATGCAGGATGATGCATGTTGTACCGAAGCGGAAGAGAAGGGAAATCTAAAAACACCGGTTGTTACAAATGTTGTTGTTGGGTTTTGTTGATAACATGCAGTTGTTTCTCTAGGGACCACAAAGCTGTTGGAAGACGGCCATTTGACAAGATGGCGACTCTGCTGGCATACCTTGGTCCTCCTGAGCACAAGCCAGTGGCAGACACGCAGTGGTCCAGTATCAATCTCACCAGTTCCAAGTTTGAAGAATTTATGACTAGGTAGTGGATCTGTGAATGTCTCTTGTTAGCAGTAGCTTTTAGCGTTAATCTGTTGCCATGGGGCCCATGCAAACACAATGCTGTCCATGGTTCTTTTCCCCATTTTGAATGCTCACGGTTCTTTCCCCACACATTCTCCCAAACTCCTAGATTCCAGGATTATTATTATTTTAGAGTTTGCTTGCATGTTCTGCCATGCCTCAGGAGTATTTTTGTGAAAGTTCCAACGTGATTCAAGGGTTTTGAATAAGCCTGAAAAAGATGGCAGCCAGCTTTTGGTTGGGGGTGGGATGTAGACACTCAAGCTTAATTTGAGATTTTCATTGTGCTTATGTTTGCCTCCTTAGGCACCAGGTGCACGAAAAGGAGGAGTTCAAGGCCCTGAAAACACTAAATATTTTCTACCAAGCTGGGACATCCAAGGCTGGCAACCCTGTTTTCTACTACATTGCTCGCCGGTAAGACCACTTCTCTTCGTTCCTTCATATTTACTATGTAATATTTATTATTAATATTTTTACTTACTTTTTTACCTTAAGGTAAAGGTAAAGGTACCCCTGCCCGTACGGGCCAGTCTTGCCAGACTCTAGGGTTGTGCGCTCATCTCACTCTATAGGCCGGGAGCCAGTGCTGTCCGCAGACACTTCCGGGTCACGTGGCCAGCGTGACATCACTGCTCTGGCAAGCCAGGGCAGCACACGGAACACCGTTTACCTTCCCGCTAGAAAGCGGTCTCTATTTATCTACTTGCACCCGAAGGTGCTTTCGAACTGCTAGGTTGGCAGGCGCTGGGACCGAACGACAGGAGCGCACCCCGCCGCAGGGATTCGAACCGCCGACCTTTCGATCGGCAAGTCCTAGGTGCTGAGGCTTTAACCCACAGCGCCACCTGCGTCCCTCCATTTTTTACCTTAATATTTACTAAAATTTAATATTTACTATTAGGAATTGTCTATATGAAGGAGCAAACTCGTTCCTTTTCTTGCTTCCCAAGCAACAACAATGCCTCGGTCATTTCAAATCTTTTTGTTGTGTTCTGAACACATTAGCAAAGTGAGTTTTATTTGTGTGTGCAAAATATGCCACGAGTGCTTCTAGCGCTGGTTTGCTTTTTTAAGAGGAGTGAGGATTTTTGCCATCTTTGAGCTGCTCCTTTGCTCAGGCAAGTGCTCTGTGGCCACTGGGCTTGCTTGCAGGCTTCTCAGAGTTGCGAAAAGCTCCATGACCTCCATAGATAGGCCCTATCTGCACAATTCTTGTGTGCACATTGGATTGTGTTTCAGTATTTTATGTGGAAGGCTACATGCACTCCTATGAGAGAGCAAATTTATTGCTCTTGTGGGGTTCTGTGGGTTTGGTTTTTAAAAAAAATAGGTTTTCTCAACAGATGCAAAAACAAACTTGAATCTTTACCGTCCTGAACCTCAGCTAATAACTTTTGCCATTGTTTTGTGTGTGAGTGCCTATATGGCATAGATTGTCTGCACTGTGCACACTTGTTGCTGTGCCTGTTTTGGACTACCAGTTCAATATAAATATCTGTGCTTAAGCTAAATGAGGCTTGTGCAGCAAAGGGTATCCTTGACAAAACAGTTAGCTATCATCAAAAGTGTAAAGTCAAGGAGCTTGAGAAGTGGAGTCCTGGTGTGATGGGCAAGCGAAGCAAATGTGAAAAAAAATACTGGATGTGGTGCGGTTTGCATGTGCCCCACAAGCTGCCTGCTGGGCAGGACTGGCCCAAGACACTTTGCCCCCCGGGACGAAGCAGCAATTCCCCACCCACCAAACCCTGCCCTGCCAAGTCAAGGTGTGTCGTACCCAAGGCCAGTGAAGTTATTGGGGCACTTGGAAGTACTGTATTTTTCGCTCTATAAGACGCACCAGACCACAAGACGCACCAAGTTTTTGGAGGAGGAAAACAAGAAAAAAAATATTCTGAATCTCAGAAGCCAGAACAGCAAGACAGGTCGCTGCACAGTGAAAGCAGCAATCCCTCTTGCTGTTCTGGCTTCTGGGATAGCTGCTACATTCGCTCCATAAGACACGCACACATTTCCCCTTACTTTTAGGAGGGAAAAATGAGAGCAAAAAATACGGTAAATCAGTTGCTGCCTGTCACTGTAGACTGCTGCTTTGGAAGAAGGCATTTTTATATGTTCATGTGCAGCGATGATGTTCATCGCGTATGCCATGCATCAAGGGAACTGGAAGGACACAAGGCGATGGCTCTTTTGACATGGGAGGGAAATTTGGGTTGAATTGAGGAGTGAAACCACACTTGCACATTGTTATGCTGTAGCCATACCTACATTTCCTTCTGACTCTCTTCTTTCAAGTGGCCTCCCATTGGAGTTAATTCTTGCTTCTTTTTCTACTCCGTTTCATGTTTACTGCCGTCTACGTGCCACATGTCAGTAGGCATAAAAACACCGTTGTTTTTAAACAACTACCGCCATTGTTAGTTATGACGCCAGCTTCATCCTTTGTCCATAAAATGGCCAAGCACTTTGTCCATAAAATTACTGACAAATAGTAAGCAGAGTTTGACTCTACAGGCATCTCTAAGGCATGCTGGGTGCTTGCGTGTGACAATATATTATTTTTGTGTTCTGGTTGTGGGGGAACAATGTGCTTGAAATTTGTGACATGTGCAGGAAGAGGGGGGATTTTAAATAAACCTTGCCACAAACAGTCTTATCTGGCTGAACCATAGCCATTATGGCCGGATCATTAAAAATACACTCCATTTCAAACAACCAATCTCCTTTATTGACATAGAGAAAGTGCATTGTATACATGGATCAGAACACGACACAGTGAACAAAACAGTAGGAGATACTTTAGGATAAAACTGTCCAGACATTGTGAGGTACGAAAACAGCTCTTGGGACCTATGGTAATGTAATTTCACCACGTCGCTTAAAAATCTTGCCACATTCTCCACAACATCGTTCCTACAACTGTTCGGGATATAAGACACCCTGGAAGAGTCAGTGCGATAAATCCCCTCCTTTAATAAGGGGGCCAAATACTTATCATATATTTTTACATAAAATGGGCAAGAAAATAAAACGTGTGTCATGGATTCAACCTGTTTTGTGCCGCAAGGGCAGTATCTTTCAGAGAACGGGATTTTTGAAAATCTACCTTGCAAAAGTGCAGACAGTAAGACGTTAAATCTTGTGAGGGAAAGAGCTCTGCGTAGGTGGGGATCACAAAGGTTATGTAAATATGGGGTGTCCTGGCCAAATGAGGGGGGAGCCTACAAACCACTTGCGCCCTGAACTCTTAACCAAGTTGCAAATGCCTTGTAACTGTTAGCAGAGTTGAACCCCTGTATAGAAATGGTGATTTTCATGGAACAGAGTATGTGTGGGGAGAGGCAAGAGCTCATGCTTTGCATGCAGAAGACCCCCAGCCTCAGTTTCTGGCATCTCCAGACAAAAGGATCAGGTGATAGGGAAAGTCCTTTCTACCCGAGACCTTGGATAGCTGCTGGCAGTCAGAGTAGACAATAGTGGGCCGGATGGACAAACAGTCCAATTTGTTCTAAGCCAGCTTCTGACATTTTCCATGTATCATTCAGGTACATGAATGGCCAGAATTGCACTGGCTCTGGGCAGTATGCTTGGGAAGTGTGAACTGCCAACTGTGTGGCGGCTGCTGACCATTGGGACTGGTAGGGCCAAGGACGGGGAGCCTAATAATAATAATAATAATAATAATAATAATAATAATATTATATAATAATTATTTATTATTTATACCCCGCCTATCTGGCTGGGATTCCCCAGCCACTCTGGGCAGCTTCCAACAAAATATTAAAATACAGTGGTCAGTCAAACATTAAAAGCTTCCCTAAACAGGGCTGCCTTCAGATGTCTTCTAAAAGTCTGGTAGTTGTTCTTCTCTTTGACATCTGGTGGGAGGGTGTTCCACAGGGCGGGTGTCACTACCGAGAAGGCCCTCTGCCTGGTTCCCTGTAACTTGGCTTCTTGCAGTGAGGGAACTGCCAAAAGGCCCTCAGCGCTGGACCTCAGTGTCCGGGCAGAACAATGAGCCAATGAAAGTCAATCAACTCATTTTAGTTTTACCCTTGCTGGAGGTTCTACCAGGGCAACACTGAGACCAAGCAGGAGGAAACTGGCAGGTGGTGTCACCCCCTGGACTGGTTGCAAGTAGAAAGGCAGGCATGTGTGGGGCTGGCCGAGGGCAGACTGAGGTTGATGGGGCAGTACGCCATCTGCCTCCACTGCCCCAACCTCTTCAGTGACTTACAGTCACTGGCTAACATAGTATGACCTGCCTTTCTGGATTTCGCATGCTGTTGACTTCCCTGAAGTTGTACATGTATACCACAGTGCAAGTAGAGGCTTATTTCCTTAAAAATGATTCTTGCGAGAGACGCATGTACCGTAATGACATTATTTATTAAGATCTCCAAACATTTATGACTAATTGAATTTTTCATTTGAATACATGGTGTGCAACTTTGCTTCTAGATCTGTTCCTCAGCTCTTTTCCCCCTGGAATTGTCCACCCATCCCTTATTTCCTTATGGTTTTAAAATGTTGTATTGCGCTCCATAGTTCAGTTGCCACGCCACCAGCTTCCATTTTTCATTTTGCTGCATAACATCTCTCTTCGACACAGAAACTTCCTTACGTGAATTGAAGTTAAGAATATTTCCCATCGTTGACAACCAACTTAGCTTGCGTTAGAAGTGCTGCGGTTCATGTGTGTCTTGAGCAATGAAAGGACTCACATATCTCTTTGAGAAATGTAACACCACAAAGGGGAGGGGATGGCAAAATTAATTGAAACGTTTATACTTGGTAACTGGATTTGCTAGCGGAATGCGTGCTCGCCAGAAAACACACCAGGACTCACAGAATTGGATTGGATTTTCCTGAATTTTACGTACAATTTTAAGTGATGAACGGGATAGCTTAACGCTTACATTAGCAGAGAAAGACTAGTTGCAAGGATGAAGCAGGTGAAGAGAAGCGGTGTTGCCGTCACAGGGATCCTGCTGTTGAAGGGAGCAGAATTGGTGGGCGACACTTTTAAGGCGGTGCTCATCTTGTGGAGTGTGCTGGTTTCCACTGTGGTATTTTGAGCAGTCGTAGTAGTGCCTGATGCGGAAACCAAGTCAGGTTTGCACAAAACTACAACCACCAGAGCAGGCCAGAGCCATTTCAACAGCCTCTTCATTCTGCATATTCAACAGTGAACATTAGTTAACAATTCACACATTTCCAGAAGATTTGACTTTTGTCATGAGGATGGTGAGGATTTGGTTACATAAGAATCCACACGCTGAGAGAGTTCACTCTCGGGGGGGGGGGGTTGCACATAAAAATGTTTCCATACAAGTGGGCCAAATGTAGTGGGGGAAATGACTTGGAATTTAGGTCACAAAACCACCATTTCTGGACCTCAGCGAGAGAATGAAAGC